GTGGGTGGGTGGGATGTGTCAGTTAGCGGAAACTCAAGTCATAAGCAGTGGGATGCATAGATGGAATAATAGCCCATTATCTCAAATGAAGCATGTGCGTTTTATATATTATACATGTGATGCAAAGCTGGGGCGGTTGTTGGGTGCGGAACGAGCATTCTCCTTTTGCCATGTTTTTCATGGGCCTTGGTTCACTTGGTTGTTTCCCCTCCTCCTCCTCTTCTTGTTTTTTCCCTTTTGTTTCTCTCTCTCTCTCTCTCTCTCTCTCTCTCTCTCTCTCTCTTATGCGAAAATAGTCTTCTTCTTTTCTTTCTCACACACACACACTCACTCAACATTCACTCTTTTCTTTCTCATTCCGAATGTCAACTCTGGGTTTAGCCGTTGCTTATGTATTGGGCGGCCTTACGTTTTTCCCAGCTATTCTTCTCCTGGCCTACATTAGCCACACTCTTCATGGTCTCTTCAACAATGCACAATCGCCAAACGAGTTATTAGCAGCTTTGGGTGACGACACGAACACGATTGGCAAGACAACGTCGTCGTCGTCTTTATCGTCGTACAAAGTCGGATGGTTACGAGTATCTCGAGACGAACAACGACTTCCTCCGCCAGATGCCTCGATCAGTGACATGGTGCGATCCTATATCATTGCCAACAACAAGGAAGCTCAAGAGAACAAAAAGAGCAGCATCTATTTTGCAGTGTTAAAGCATCATACGTTGTACTTGTATGACTCTGAACGGCAATTGGATTGTCAGGGCGTGATTCAAGTGGATCAACACAAGGTGACCATGCATCCACCTGGTTTGAAAGACCCGGAACTCTTTACCCGACCACACCTGATCAAGTTGACTCACATGCAACACAATGACCAGCACTATTATATCAACTGCAATAGGTGCATTGACAAAGAAGATTGGTTCCTTGCCCTTCGTCATGCAGCATACAACAACACCATCACCACCCACGACGTTGATCAACAAATAGCACTACGCCATCTCATCAATACCATTCACAGCAATGAACATCATTTTCAAACTCAATGGTTCAATGCAATGCTCGGCCGTATATTTTGTGGTGTCTACAAGACTGATAATATACGCGCCTTTTTGTACAACAAACTCATCTCCAAACTCGACAAGATCAATGCACGTCGCCCACCGTTCCTCGGAGAAATCACGGTTCGATCGGTTCATCCGGGTCACGCACAACCTTACATTACTCAACCACGTTTATTGAGCCTCACTCCATCCGGTGAATTGACAGCTGAAGCATACATGCAATATGAAGGTGGCATTCGTTTCGAAATTGAGACGGTGCTGCAATGGAGGTATTCAGATCATTTACCACCCTTGAAAATCGACTTGGTGCTGGCCATCACTTTACGCTCATTACAAGGTCGCTTTTTATTCAAGATTAAAGAACCTCCCACGAATCGCTTCTGGTATGGCTTTTATGAGTTGCCCAAGATGGAATGGGGTGTGGAACCTCTTGTATGGGAACGTCGTGTGGGATACTCGGTGGTTGTCAAGGCGATCCAAAACAAGATTGATGAATTGGTGATGGAGAACATTGTCCTTCCCAACATGGATGATATCACTTTTTTTCCTACCGAGAATGCAGATGGTGGTATCTTTTTGCCCACGACAAAGCCTGCAACAACGACATCATCATCATCAACAACAACATCATCAACATCCACTACAACCACCGCATTGGAAGAAAAGGAGGATAATAGCAACGGCAACAAACCCAAACTACGACGAGCTGCCACCACCAAGGAAACAGTTACCATCACGCCACCATCACCTCGTTCCCCCAAACAAAGACCGGTCATGTCAGGATCTGTTTCAGAAGGCACACGACAACAACAAAGAACGGGATCACTGATCGGCAACATTTTGAAACACAAGACATCTTTTGAAGCACTCTCTACTTCCCCATTGGCGACATCTTCTTCCACAATGGCTCTGTTATCATCATCTTCTTCCACCACGTCTTCCATTGCATCATCGACAAGCTCCTCCTCTCATCACCATCATCCACCCACAGCCATTCACAGCGAGAGTGATCTAAGTGAGAGCATCCGTTTAAGGAAATCAGCATCTTTGGCACGTCTCAAATCCAAATCCATGGCATCTACAGCAGTTTCACAAATCAACGTGTCTCCCACCATGCATCATGATTTCATTGATTCGAAAAAGATCACCGCCACCTCCAATAGTAGTAGTAGTAGCAGTGAAGCTGCCACTGCTGCAATGATCAAATCATCCCAATCGGTTGTTTCTATTGCGTCCTAGTAGTTTTAGACATACCACCCTTATATCCATCCCCATCATTTCTCATCCATTGTTGTATTCCCAAAATGCATTCCCCTTTTATATAAACACAATCACACAAGCATCATAAAAGAGACTTTCCATGATCAGCAAAAGATTATGATAGGATATTATATTAGGGTGTATTACTACTACTTGTGTATATATAAAAAGTGCGATATGCAATTGCATGAAGAATGAGGATATAGATGCTTAATTAAATACGGGCCCATTTCCAACCACCTTGAGCTACGCGTAGCCATCCTGCAAATAAAGAACCCACAATGACAGTAACACCAGCCCAAATGGCTCCATTCATATAATTGGGAGGTGTGCTCTTGTTGATCAACGCTGATGCAATGGGAGTGCCAAACAAGTAGCCAACGAGATTGGTTGCGTATAAAAGACCCACTGCCGGTGAAATGTTCTCCATGCCAACCACTTGAGGTTGCACAGCAGGGAATAAAGCAATGTATCCACCACCTGCAGCATCAGCAGCAGCATCCAAGAATGAGTTGACGTTTCAAACCTTAATAATCCATATAGAACACACATACCTGCAAAGCCATAGAGTACCGCAAACACCCAAATGGTAGCTTCATTGGTAGCATTGGTCCAAATAGCCAAACAGAATAAGCCTGCTAAAAACGTGCAGATGAAAAGACTATTGAATCGTCCAAGCTTGTCACCCATGAAACCGGTAAAGATACGAGCTGCTGCATTGACGGCTGACATGATAGCTGATAGGTTGGTGCCTACCCATGGATCCAAATGTAACGCTTTCGCATGTGCTACATATAACAACAATGCTTAGTCACCCGTATATGGGTAATGGTATTCGCCTTACATGGTAGTAAAAAGAAAGGTGTCTATGTATCAAAAGCAGTTGCTATGAGTGACCATGTGAAGATTGTGTGAAATCCACTCACTCACCATGTAGCCAAAGGTAGTAACCAATCCAAACACGAACAAAATGACAAAGCGTGGGTTCTTGAAAAGGTACCAGCTGACAATACCCGCTTTGCCCCCGGTTTGCTGTGCTGTGCCCAAAGGTCTCACCAAGATGGATGCAACACCAATTAGCACGAAATTGATGATACCGACAACGCTACATCAAATTACTAGATGAATGAAAATGAAAGGATTGGCATACCAACAATCAACTTACCGTAATGCCCATCGATAATCAATATTGGCAATGATGGCTTGGCAGATATTAGAAATCACCAAACCACCAATACCTGATCCTGACATGGCTAAGCCGACAGCCAATCCTCTTCGTTTTGAAAACCATTGTTGAGGGGCACCGATACAGGGGAACCAAACAAAAGAGGCACCCAAGCCGTATAGCAGGCCCTGCGTTAAGAACACGTGCCATACCTGTTTCATCCTTTATGAGCTGCTGATGCTTGATCTCATCCATGTTCTAGGTACAGTACCTCTTTTGCAAAGCTGGCTAAAATGAGTGCAGCTGTACATAACACCATGCCTGTCCAAAGCATATAGCGGTATCCCATCAATCGGATCACAGTTTGATTGATCGGACCGAGAATGAAGAATAACGCAACGCACAATGATCCGACCCATGATAGCTTGTCCATTTGATTTAGGTATACGTTTTCCTTGTAGTAATTTAAAAAGACGCCCCAGCTAGTAATCATATCCAATGAGCTCCTCTTGTTTTAGGATGATGTGTATGTGCGTGTTATCGCTTACCTGTAATTATAACCAAAGCTGCAAAGAAAAAAAGTTGCAAACATCAGTCTCAAACTTCCCCTTTTTTTCTGGAATCGCTTCTTACATGGAGAATAAGCCCTATTGGATCATGTGAGTGGCCTTTCATTGTTTACAAGTAGATCGCACAGCAGCACGTACCAAAAATGAACCAAGGACAGGGAACCACCCCCTGCCACCATCAGGAGGGACCAATGACTCGATTTCTGTTTCGGGCTTGTTTTGAGGTCGCGTGGATTCTACAGACACTGTATATGATTTTTCGCTCTCTGGCATGATAAAAAGTACACACAAAGGAAAAGAAAAAAAAGAGCACACAGACACAAGTTTTTGTTGTTGGATCCCTTTTGTTACTCAGCATAGGCTGGAGATGAAATATCAAATGTCCTGTGTCAGATCCCCATCTTGAAGGATCTTCATTGCATCGATAGCGCATTACACTCCGTTCATAACCCTGGTATTGTCATTGTTAACGATACCACAATCAATGTTGCTTTTTCATCCAATCATTCGATCAACCTTATGCTTTAAACGGTTTTTGAGGATCATTTGGTGCAGGATCCTTGGTGCCAAACCATGATCATTTATGCAGTAGTAGTAGATGTACGATAATGATTGCATCACTATTAGCAAGCATCATGCTCAATTGAACGAAACAAAGCGTGACACATTTATTGCGAAAAGCGAGCCATGTATATGCCTATGCTCGTTTCTGGATCATTGTGGGTGACTCTCTCATGAACTACGTTGCATGCTCAAGACAATCATTTATGCTAACTCTTTGTTCTCCTGTAGATGAGTGTTGAGTCATTGTGGATACACACAAAGGGCTATGTATGTCTCGTCAATGTTATACAATATGCCGCATTTGTATTGAGAAAGAGAGATGACAACACCTGTATCCATGGTTTATGCATATAGAGGTTGGCCGGGTCTATTGCGTCACAACGCTGAGCTATGTGAGAATGACGCCAAAGGAAAGAAACTTTGGACTAAAGTGCGCCACGTGCGTCTATGTTGTAACGCATAACTTTAATGGGTAACGTTGCATCTTATATAGCAGTGTGAGAACACGCCACGATGGAAAGAGAAACAACAAGAGGTTGCCATGGCTACTTGCGACTCTTAAAACAAGATGCCCTAATTCGGGCGTATCTGAATGCGGCGTTTTAAACGGTGGAAACGATTTGTGCGGACACACATCTTTAAGCGGGTGAGGGGGCAAGTTGAGAACCTCCTCTTTCATTCTTGGTAAGTTATCTTTATACGAGGTGTTGCGTGTGTGCGTGTGTGTGTGTATACAAGAGATATATGATATAGCATTTCAATTGATGCATTTAACTACAATGGATGAATCAATGCAATGGATGGATGAAGATGGATGGATGGATGATGGATGATGGATGATGATGAGTGGATGGATGACTAATCAAATGATAAAGGTATTTAGCCATGGGTCGCCGTCCCGCTCGTTGCTACCGTTACTGCAAGAACAAGCCCTATCCCAAGAGCAGATACTGCCGTGGTGTCCCTGACGCCAAGATCAGAATCTATGACTTGGGTCGCAAGAAGGCTCACGTTGACGACTTTCCCCTTTGCGTCCACTTGATCTCCAACGAGTATGAACAGCTTTCCTCCGAAGCCTTGGAAGCTGGTCGTATCTGTGCCAACAAGTACATTGTCAAGAACTCTGGCAAGGACTCTTTCCACATGCGTGTTCGTGTCCATCCTTTCCACGTTGTGCGTATCAACAAGATGTTGTCGTGCGCTGGTGCCGATAGATTGCAACAGGGTATGCGTGGTGCCTTTGGTAAGCCCCAAGGTCTCGTTGCTCGTGTCAACATTGGTCAAGTGATCTTCTCTATCCGTACCAAGGACTCCAACAAGGCTACTGTCATTGAAGCTCTTCGTCGCTGCAAGTACAAGTTCCCTGGTCAACAAAAGATCATCATCTCCAACAAGTGGGGTTTCACTCCCCTCAAGCGTGAGGAGTACATCCAAGCTCGCTCTGAGGGCAAGCTTCAACCCGATGGTTGCTACGTCAAGTTCGTTCCCCAAAAGGGTGACCTTAACAACTACTTCCGTGCTGCCAGCCGTGTTTAAGTCTTTTTATCTCTCTCTTTTTATAATGCGGGAATAAAATCATTATCATCTCTTTTGATTCGACCCTTGGAAAACTTGTGTATGTGTGTGCGAGCGATATTATTATTGAATAGAATAGCGTGTAAGAATGATTGGAGGATATATATACATGACATTGTTCTTCTATGGAGTTGTTGTTGTTGCTGGACGATCAATGGGTATCATTGGAAAGAGACGTCTCGCTCGTTGTGCGATCATCATCGCTTATTAATCCTTCCCCTGCAAGCTGTGAATGCAATGATATTCCCCGAAATATAGAGCCCACACGCCTTAATGATCGTTGGCTGGATACGCTACGTTGTCGATGCTCATCTCCATCACCCGTAGGATATAACAATGGCGTGCTTTCAGATACATTATCGGTGTCGTGGTTGCTTTCTGTGGATGAGGTGGATGTCGTGATATGGATAGCTGTTGGCGTGGGTGGCTCAGTGACAATCGTTGGTAGGGGTTGCGAGCTGTCCAATGGAGGAGGAACGTGTGTCTTGCAACCTTCATTGATCATGTTGTCTTCTTTTCGAGTGGATGGATCTCTTCCAGAAGTGATAAGAAAGATGCCGAGGAATTCTGTCAAACATCCAAGGACGAATCTAATACTACAATGTCAACCCCCTTTTCCTTATATAAAAGCACCACAACTTCAATGATGTTACCTGTACAAGTGGGATGGATCATCATTATCGAAATCACGATAAATAACGGCGCTTCCAGCAATGGCAGAAATGGTAAAGAGCACAAATTGAGTGGGAATAACAGCTGTCGAGTCGTATCGCTGCATGGCTCGATTGAGGTATTTGACTTGCATAAGCGCTGTAAAGACGAGGACGGCAAGGAGCACGTACGATACAGCATACCTAATGGGTGATAGGTTCAGCCATTGTTGATCACTCACATACTCCATCATAGCACTGCTTACGTGAATAACCTGTACAAGGTCATACTCAGCAAAGATGACAATCCTTTTGTAGCCACCACAGTATAGGCACCTATTTCGAGCACACAATGAATACCCCTTTTTGTTGTTCATGTTCACCATCCTCCTCAATTTACCATAGAATGCGACAAGACCAAGATCAATCAAGATGTTTCTTGTACCGTACATGGGGGATAGGAGCGTCAGGGTGATGATTGCCATGATGGATATCGCGTAGAAAATGACAGAGCGTGTTTGCATAAGAGCAGCAGCAACCAATTCAGGTGACAGCTAACAAATATGGATTAGGGAACAGCACACACACACATCGGAAAATATATCCCTCATGGATCACATTGTACCTTGAATTCATGACTTTTCGAGCTGGATACCACGCTGGCTGCTCCCAATATTGCAAAGATAATCCCAAGAAAGTCTTGTTTTCGAAATCGCTCATCCAATAGTACAGGCGCAAGAATTGCATTTGAAACCAAGGTCGTGGTGCCCAAAGGTGCAATCGTCGAAGCGGGTGCGAATCCATAGGCTGCACATATGCATGATGTATGAGTATTATGTATGTACCATCTCAACCATGTTGATAAAAGGTCTTGTCTTACCCATAAAGTTTCCTATCTCGCCAACCACCATCAAGGCAATGCCTAGCCACCAAATTTTGGATCGTAAATAGTTGGTATCATACTCTTCTTGAGTCACACATTCGGGATCTTGCTGGCTCTTTGAATATCCATCAGTGTATTTGAGACCTGGTTGTGGTGAATCAGGTGGTGTTGGTGAACCAAGGCAAGATGGTGTGCTGGTAACTGTTTGTGTTGTTGTTGTTGTTGCTGCTGCTGCTGGTCGTCCATGTAATCCCTTACAAGAAGCTTGTTCTGATAGCTGGTTATGCTGCAAGCAAGAGTCAATAAACCGAGCCATATAAACAATATGATACTTACTGCTAGCTTCTGAATGTTGAGAGCAAACGATATAAGGATCTAACAGCATTGCAAGTCTGTCATTAGGGCAAAGCAAAAAGGAGGGGGGAAAGAGCTCTGCATCTTTGAAAGCCATACATTGCCGCAGATTGCAAGGAACACACCAATCAGAGTATCTGCTTGTTCTACTGCATCTCGGCCAACAATGGTGGAGGCGAACCACATTACAGAGTTTGGGAGAAAAGAAAGATAGTGGAATAATCTTGATGGATGGATTGCAATGTTGCTGCTGCCTGCTGCTTAAGACTCAGAAGCAACGTTACACATCAGCTGCAGTAACAACTGCACCATGTTGATGTTGACATATGCATTCTTCATTTTGCACAATGCGTGGATAAACATAGTAGATTGATAATGCCCAACGATAAACCATCATAAAAGGCTGCCCTGAAATGATAAATGTCCTCGTTATTGATATGAAACAAAGCGCGTCATGCATGTCTCGTCGGATGTTGATGCAAGAAGAAATGCATGTTTTTGCTCCCTCTACACTGCAACATGAAGTGAATATGACAACATAACGTGTTTCATCACTGTATCAGAATCCAGCAGCTGGTCCAGTGCAACCAAAACACTCTAGGCAAAACGTGTCATTACTAGTGCAAACTTGGCGTATAGTCATTCTAAATGCAGCTTGTATATATAATACTAGCACACTAGTGCCATGTTATCCAAGAGTATGGGTAGCTGGTTGGCTCACACTATTTTCCATGTATGAATCATCCCTTTATGCAAAGCTGCCATCTGCCACGATTTGTGTACGTACACGGACGATTTTACGGGAAATGACAAATGAACGATGAGCTCCGCCGTTGTACAGAGCATGTGTTCAAAGTGCATTTCTACCCATTTGCTATTCCAGCAGCTATTCAAGTGCACAACCACCTGCGTTACATCCTATTTTAGACATGGTTGAATGATCGTCACTCGAGTTCTATTTACAACCTTTTCCTTGCCCTGGATGCGTGCGTGGATGATGTTGCCCAAAGCTCATATCCCGACTTTTTGACCTTAATAATTCACTACCCGATATTTGCTTTTTTTGCCACCAGTGATTGCTGTGCAACAAGCATAGTTTATTTTTCGTCCCTCTCTCTCGCTCTCTCTTCTTTCTTCCTTTGTTGTCGTTGTATTCTTTTCATAAAGTGTGTTCCCCACCCCCTGTGTCATGACAATTGCTGATACCGAGGAGCCGGTCTCATGGTTGAAGCAAAACCCAAATCGCCAATCCTTTGCATCAAAACCTACCTATAACAAGCGTATCTCTACCATGGCTACTGCTGCTGTTGCTCATGGTCATGGCCATCAAGAGATATTACCAAAGGATAGGAGACCCGTATCACCACCATGGAGTAATCCACCTACAGCGAATGATCGAGTATCATCCATGATCATGGCGCCTTCACCAACACCATCCACAGCATCATCAACACCTACGTCTGCTTTACGCAAAGCGGATGGCAACGTCCAACAATTTATTCCTCGTCTCGATCTCGATCTTTCACCCATGACCATCCATCCTCGAGACACGGAAGATGAGGAGGATGAAAATGAGGATGGGGATAGTAGTAGTGGATTGCAATCACCAACAAGCATACAATACGTATCGAACGATTTAATGGGCCGTGTTCAGTCGTTGGAAAGCGAACTGCAAACGGCATATCAACATGTGCATTATCTCAAAGCTCAGCTTGCTCAACATGATCAATCCACCCAAGCACTTGTTACAAAGCATATAGAAGAAAAGGAAAGCGAAAAGTTACGAGTCAAGCAGCTTACAGAGTTGGTGCATACCCAAGATTTGCTTATCCAGCAGCTTCAACAACGCCAACAACAACCAGCTACATCAAGCAGTGACTCAAGTATGGCTCAAGAACTTTCAAAGCTGCGGGCGGATTTGGATACATTGCATTTTGAAAAACGTAGCCTTGAAACACGGATGGCAGCCTTTTTGCATGAAGAATTGGATATGAGCCATGTATCTTTATTATCTAATGACGATGATGAGCTTTTTAGTGTTGCTATGGGATACCGATCATCAACAGAGCAACAACCACAGGATCTTCTTCAGCACATGGATCTACGACGAAGGAGTAGCAGTATCATTGATGCCGACCAGTATAGCATGATGACCTTTGGGAATGCATCATCACACCATCATCATCGTAGCAACAGCAACAGCGAAAATCGACTTTGCAGTCCAATGGGTCATATTACTTCCAACAACAACAATAACAACCACGCCACATCACCTTCTTCTCGTTATACCAACCATTCAACTTTGAATTTGGTAGAGGAGCGTGATGAAGAAGATGATGCTGTTTCTCGCTATTCTTCATTGTCATCTTCACCAGCAACCATGTCATTTGCATCACCAACATCATCATCATCCGCGAGTGATCCTCGATACTCAATCCTAAAGTCGACACAACAAATGAGAACTTCCTTGTCATCGGTATCCAGTTCTCATTTGCCAGCACATGCAGGCTCACCCACAACAACAAGTCCATCTACAGCTGCAGCTGCTGCAAATGCAGCTCGTAAAGCCGCATGGGCAAGGATCATGATACCACCCGCCACACCACCACCAAGCCATCCACTTCCACCTCTTCCTCCTAATGGTGGTGCTTTCCCTCTTCCTGCTGATGATACATTGGATGATGATAGCGATATGGATGATGCCTATCCTGATCCACGTCAATCCCATTCTCCTAGAAAATCCATGATGCCACATCCTCCTTCTGTTCCACCACTCGCCATATCCACAAGCTCCACCTCTATTTCACAGCAACAACAACAACAACACGATCCTGGATTGTCATCCGCTCCACCTATCATGTCACCTCAACGAGAATCCTTGGAAGCTGCTTTGCAAAAGAATGGTCGTGAAAGTGCTGCTACGGTTCATTCATCGGGTACAGATGAAACAAGTTCAAGGGAAAGCAAGCAAAGCTTTTGGAAAGGCGTAAAAACGAAATGGAAGAGGAAATAATCTAGATTGATTGGTATATCTACTTTTAATTTCTATGTAATATATATACACTACTTTTTTATACACATAATGGCTTCATCTCCTCTTGTCGTCGTTGACGTTCGCATCCACAGACACCATCCTCACCCCTGATTCCTTGTTGGCAATCTTGGCAGCAATAGGCGTTTTCATCGGTAGACACGCATGAATGGCAGTACAATATCAGCAAGTGGCAATGCGTAGATGAACATTTTCGGTAATCATCCCATGGCTGATTGCACCTTTGGCATTTTCCCAATATTTGCCTTTTGTCATTCTCTTCTTCCAATGCAAGTCCTTGTCGACCATCAAAGACGTAGTTCTTGCCTATCCACAACGGTCCATCCTTGTTCTTCTTTTGCCCCACGCCATTGGCTTTGCACCATTCCAAGTAATTGTGTATTCCACCATCCAACATGAAGATCTGGGTATCATTGGATAATGCATGTCGCATGTAGGCAGTTGCCTTCTCACACCGAATACCTCTACATTTCGCATGCATGTTAGCAACCTCGTGTTGTGTTGTTGTCATGACCACCACCACCCTTTTTACGTACCCAGTACAATAAGTGAAGATGGTCTTGCCTTCAAGAGCTTGTCGATTACGATCCACATAATCAGGGAAACGACCAAACTTGCGTATAGCAGGTGTCTTAGCGCCTTTGAATGCACCGATGCGGCTTTCATAATAATTGCGGGTGTCAAGGACGATGGTATCAGGATCAGTGGCGTGTGAAAGCAACATGTCATGGAATTCGGCGGGTGGTAGTTTGCCACTGCTTTGCATAGGATCATTGAGCAATTGTTCCACACCAATGATATCAGGTCGACCCAATGGGCAAATCTCCTTGACGACCTTGACCGATAGATCAGCAAAGACATGGCGACATCCAGTAGAAGGCTTGAAAAAGGTGTAGCGGTTCTGGACATGATTTGGATGTGTCTTTACCAATCGAGCTCGTTCGTCGTCTGTGAAAAGGTCGGTGCCAATGATCCAATCGAGATAGGTATCCATGGCAACCCGTTTACCAGCCAATGTCGTGTTGATACCCTCGTTGGCAATACGCACTTTGCCTTGAAGATCAAGTTGCTCACAACGTTCTTGGTGCTCCCGTGCATAGTAGGATGGATCCGTTACTTGAGTGTACTTGTAGAATAAGATCACACATGATTCATCCACATTGCACTTGCATTCCACAGTGATGGGATCGGATGAACCCTACAGCAATAAAATCATCAGGCACATTCGATCGTCTCATCCACGTGATATAAAGCAAACGTACTTTGGGTGCTCTTCTTCGCTGAAATGCTGCCATGTCAGTCTCTGATGAGGAACACGACATTGATCCTTGACGCTGCTCCTTCAACCGAGTCTCCCATGCTTCGATATCCAACTCATGACAAGAGTGAACATGCCGTGCGATCGACTCAATGGTCTCATAGTCAGTGTTGCAACAATGCCATCGGGATGCTTCAATCTTTTTCTCTCGAACGACTTGACGTGCTGCAAGGCTCTTTAAACCACGTGCTTTGGACATGTTAGGTAGGAGGTGTGGGTGGATGAAAGAGTATGAAAAAAGTGTAGTGACTTTTTGACACATACGAATCATCACGTGCCTGTTCTCATTGATTCACATCATCATCATTATCATCCTTAGGAACACACATACATACATTCGATGCCTTGATTGGAGTGTGGGCCATACCGAAACGAATAGCGTGGTGAGCTATGCATATGACATTTTTCATGACAACAGCAAAAAGTGAGTTGTTGCTCGTATTTCCTTTTTCGTTCGAATGCCATGCTTGAGGTATTTCAGTCAGAACTATATTCTTTTGGCCAAAACTTGGATTTATATATATAAGCATCGATTCTCGTTCTAATCATTCTCTGTGAATCTCTTTTAGTTGCCATGGACACTCTAAAGAGAAGACACACCACGACGCAAAATGGCATGGCTGCATGCAGCATCATGGCTGAAGAAGGCTACGACCCCATTTCATTGAACGACGATCAAGACGATATCTATGCCGAAAAGGAGAGATCATTTCGCAATCGACATCCTCACACCTCAGGCTACAAAAAGGTAATTGTGTGTGTGCATATATAAATCATTCATGTATACTAAATCGACCCTGTTGTAGTATATGGCAGCTGCAAAAAAGTATCAGCACGTGCTTATCCCTACAACATTGACATTGTTGTCATTTATCACACGTTTCTATGACCTTGCTCGATCCGATTCCGTCGTTTGGGATGAGGCACATTTTGGAAAGGTAAAGGACAGCAAGGCAAAACAAAGCAATTCATGGGTCCATTAATATGGGTGGGAATAGTTTGGTTCATATTACCTCAAGCGAGAATACTATTTTGATGTTCATCCACCTTTGGGCAAGATGCTGGTTGGATTGTCCGGTTGGCTGGTGGGATACGATGGATCCTTTGATTTTCAATCAGGTGCCACCTTTCCAGAAGGACTCAATTATTGGGGTATGCGTTTATTCAATTCGGCGTGGGGCGCTCTCATGGTGCCATTAGCTTATGGCACAGCCAAGGAATTTGGCATGTCGATGCGTGCAAGTATTTTGGCGGCTTCCATGGTGCTGTTTGGTAAGTTGTTAATGATCGATAATGACACAATTACATCACGTCTCATTGTTGTTGTTGGTTTTACTAGATACGGCATACCTTTGTATCAGCCGCTTTATTCTTTTGGATTCAATGCTTTTGTTCTTTACATGTACATCACTCTATTGCCTTTCCAAACTTCGAAGCACGCGTCATCAGTAAGTACTATGCATATTCATCAGCAGTGGCGATCTCACATTATCGTTGTTAGACCTTTTTCCAAACAATGGTGGTTATGGATGTTTATGACTGGTGTTTCTCTTGGCTGTGTCTCAAGGTATGTTATACGATTGATGAAGAAATGGAGCATGTGTTTAACCCTATTATAGTGTCAAATGGGTTGGATTGTTTGCTGTGGCTATGGTGGGCGTCTACACGCTCGATGAACTTTGGGACTTGTATGGAGATCCTCAACTCTCTATCGTTGTTTATGCAGCTCACTGGGTGGCCCGTGCAATCACGTTGATTGCTGTCCCAATGGTCGTTTATGTGGCAAGTTTCAAGGCACATTTCACAATCCTCAGTAAAAGTGGTCCTGGCGATAATCAGATGAGCTCGTTATTCCAAGCACAACTTGAAGGAAATTCGCTTGGTGAAAGTCCATTGGGTATGTAGCCTTTTCATTGTTTACAACTACTACATGCATCATCATGCTGACGAAGAACATTTACAGAAATCGCGTTTGGCTCCGAAGTTACCATAAAGAGCCAAACTTTAGGAGGTGGTCTTCTTCATTCTCATGTCCAAAAATATCCAGAAGGGTCCAAGCATCAACAAGTGACGATTTACCACCACAAGGACGAGAACAACAACTGGGTTCTTCATCCAGTGGATGCTGAAGAAGAAGGAGATGTCAACGAAGAGGATATCCAATACATCCGTGATGGCGATCATGTTCGTTTGTTGCATAAGCGTACCAAGGTTTACTTGCATAGCCACGAGATGCCCGGCCATGTTACCAACGAGCATTACGAAGTCGGTGGACATGGCACTGAGAAGGACCCCATGATTGGCAATACTTGGAAAGTGGAAGTCAAGGATGATATTGGTGCAATGAGCAACGACAACAACCGTATCCATACGTTATCTACACGTTTCAGGCTTCGACACGTTGAGTTGGGATGTCTATTGCGATCCGAAAAGGCGTCGCTTCCACAATGGGGCTTCAAGCAAGGTGAAATGACATGTGATCCAAATGCCAAAGACAATGACCCCGCTGTATTGTGGAACATTGAAGAACATGAAAACGAAAAACGTAAGTTTGTTTACCATTCCCAAAGATGGCATGTGTTAAGGTTGTTTTTGTATTATGAATAGTGCCTCCTGCTGGTAAACAAGCTTATCGCAGCAAGTTTTGGCGTGATTTTATTCATTTGAATGTGGGCATGTGGCGATCCAACAATGCACTTATCCCAGACCCTGACAAAGAAGACAGGCTCACATCAGCCCCCACTGAATGGCCCCTAGTATCCATCGGCATGCGCATATGCGGTTGGGGAGAGAAGAATGTCCGATACCTTTTAATGGGTAACCCTGCTGTTTGGTGGGCAAGTGCTGCATCCTTGGCTGTATTTGGTTTGACCGTGGCGATTTACAATGTGCGTACGCGTCGTCACGGAGCCCACGTATTACAAGGTAACAAGTTGTGGTAGCATGGAAACCATGAAGAAAAAGCTAATAAGGTGTTTGGATTAGGGAAAAAAATGGATGACTTTTATTTCACGGGCAGGGTTTTGCTTATTGGATGGTTCTTTCATTACTTGCCATTCTTCATCATGGGACGTGTCACCTACCTTCACCATTATTTCCCAGCCTTGTACTTTAGCATTTTCATGGTGCCATTGTTGATGGATCATTTTGTCGCCCAATCCTCTCCAAGAACACAAACCGTGGTCTTTACCATTGCGTTAGCATTGGTCATCTCTGCATTTATCTATTTCAGCCCTATTGCATTTGGCATGACAGGTCCACTTGACAAGTATACAGGAAGAATGTGGTTTAGAAATTGGCGATTCGCTGATGAAGAATAGCTGCATGTCGTCGACTACATATATAAGTTTATTGATGATGTTGCCTTTAATTTGTACAAACCTTATTACTATATAAAAAACCCAACATTTGCTTATTGCATTGGCATCGAAAAGAAAATGATACAAGATGTGGTTGGAGGAGGGGCCACGATCATTAGAGCCTATGGCAACAAACGACGTCGTCCGCATTGAAGGATATCTACTTTGACAGCTGCTGATTGGATAAGTCCGACTGAAGAAATATTTTTTCGCTTGAATCGAGCCACGCTATCTTTAAACCAACTTGATCAGCATGAGCGTGCAAGGATTCTGGGGTATGCATGTCAACCATCGTATGCCCTCCATGCCCCAATTAACAAGCGTGTCTATTACCTTACAGGTCTTCAAGTCGTGCCTGATAAGACGTACAGCCAAGTCGTCACCGCACCTTTCCGTATTTCCATGGTCAGTAGATCATCTCCTTCTCAACAACCACGATCGCGAGAGTGACACGTTATGAATCGGTCTGCTTTTGGTATTGACATGATGGATGGATACAGGTTGCTTTGGCCGAGGATGCAAAGGGTGACAAGCGTTCGAGTGTGCGTGTCAAGGTTGACAAGAAGGAATTTGTGCTTTGCACATTGATCCCATTCAAGGTAACGTCGACGTCGCAAGGTTAAACGTGTAACGTATGCTTATAGTGAATCATTGGTAGATTGAGCAGCAAAAGCTCGATATCACTTTTGTCGAGGGTGAAGAGGTCTCCTTCACTGTCACTGGCTCAAAGTAAGTGAAGGGTATTTAGGGGAAGTATAGATCTTATCTCTAATACAAATGTGCATTTAGCACCGTTCATCTTACTGGCAACTATGTTTTTGATGATGAAGATGACGAAAGCGGTGATGAAAACATGGATGAGTAAGTAATCATGCAGGATAGGTATATGGTAGTACATGGATAGCTGATATATCATATTTAGCCTTGCTCAGCTCATCCAACAAAGACGTGGTATGTTGTATGGTTGCTAGGTGATCGATTCAGTTGTTGACAACAAACTTTCTTAGGAATGATCGATGATGAAGCCGAGGTATCCGATGAGGATGATGAAGAAGAAGAATCCGAAGAAGAAGAGTCTGAGGAAGAGGAATCCGAAGAGGAGGAGGAATCTGAAGAAGAAGAGGAGCCTGTTCAACCTGTCAAGAAGGATAACAAGAAGCGTCCTGCTGAAACTGTGAAGGAAAGCACTGTCGCAAAGAAGGCCAAGGCTGAACAAAAGAAGGAACCTGAACAAAAGAAGCCTGAGCAAAAGAAGCAACCTGAGCAAAAGAAGCAACCTGAACAAAAGAAGCAGCCTGAACAGAAGAAGCCTGAACAAAAGAAGCAAGAAAAGAAGGTTGAAGAAAAGAAAGAGGTAATATTCATGCATTGTAAATCTACTTCTTACCATTTACTGATGTCCTCTTTGATAGTCTAAGGTTAGAAAGTTGCCCAATGGTTTGATCATTGAAGATGTCAAGATTGGTAACGGTGACGTGGCCAAGAGTGGCAAGCGTGTCGGCATGCGATACATTGGTAAGCTCACCAACGGCAAGGTCTTTGACAAGAACGTCTCTGGCAGGCCCTTCAACTTTTTGCTTGGTCGCGGTGAAGTGATCAAGGGTTGGGATATTGGTGTTGCTGGCATGAAGGTGGGTGGTGAGCGCAAGTTGACCATCCCTGCTCCTCTCGCTTATGGCAAGCAAGGTGCTCCCCCAGATATTCCTCGTAACGCTACTCTTGTTTTTGAAGTAAGTTGCCTCTATGGTGATGATGATGATCATGTACTAACGACTGCTGTCTCTAGGTCAAGCTTGTCAACGTCAAATAATTGCATCATCTCTTCATTTTTATAAATTGTCGCAAAAGCATCTTAAGAAATTGTCATCATATCATATATGTTCTTTAACGCAATGGTCTTTGTTTATGTGGTCTATCATCATGTTGCTATGCGAATATGGATATTGTATGTGTCTACAAAGTAGATGGAAATAAGCTATAGGTTGAAAGGTATTATGGTGGTGTCATCATTTCTCAGCAAGCACAAGAGCTGCTATCGTTGTAAGCACTTGTATCATTCAAGTCGACCTTGGTCACTAAATAAAATGGGCTATTGAGTATGTATCTCCTTGGTTAAAGCTCTTTTCTGGTCCTTACTTGAATCACGTGTATCATCCGTGCTCGTTGTCTCCATTCCTGGTAATGCATGACCGATCTTTCGGAAGAGAGCTTTGACCTGTAAACCCTATGAGACTTCTACCGAAGTAAAAGTAATAGATAATCCAAACTTACATTGTATCCTGCCTTTGCACTTGTTTCAATGAACATCACGTTGTACTCTTTGGCTTTTTTCTCCCCATCTTCAACTGATACCTGGCTGTGTGAGTGATAACAACGTGACCCTTTTAGTACACAGAGAGGTCCTTTCATCCATGGTTGAGGCCTTACCGTTTTTCGCCAATGTCAGTCTTATTTCCAACCAAGATGATAATGACATCCTTTCCACGTTCTGCGCGAACATCGTCAATCCATTTCGTAGTATTCATGAATGAATTGCGATCTAATAGGGAGGGTATTTAATGTGAAAACAGCGCACCTTTTGTACTCGTTGTACTTACTAGTGATATCATAAACGATGACAGTGGCAGAAGAATCACGAATGTAGCTTGGTATCAGTGACCGGAAACGTTCCTAATCGAGGAAGAGGAGGGGGTTTGTTGGAGATGATGCCGTGTGTGGCGTTCTACTATCTGCTGCTCTTATTACCTGCCCGGCCGTATCCCCTTAATAAATGCATCAGTGAACTGATTTACATATACAGTGAAATACTCACATAATTGCAATCGAATTGTTCGATCATCGAGATACATTGTCTTGGATAAAAAGTCGATGCCGATGGTGGCCTATAGAATGGATTTGACATTTTGACGTTTGCATGTGACACAAAGATCGACTACTTTTTCCCCCACAACCAGATCTCCTAAAGGAGCCGTACCTGATAAGTGTTGTCGAAGGTGTCATACATGAATCTAGTAATAAGCGAGGTCTTTCCCACTAAAGTATGCCAAAGTTACATCATCAAGCTTCATTTCCTAAAGGCCCATTGCCATGGCGACGGGGGATCAGTGATGGACGTACCGCTTTGTTCTCCTAGGAAAACGAGCTTGTACTTCTTGAGCGGGTTGGAAAAGTCGTCAGCGGTCATTCTTTCTTTGGGTGTAAACGTTCAGGGGATAATAATCAAGAAGAGAAAGATGGATGAGGCCAGCAGGAGAAAGGGGAGGGAAATGAACAAAATCTTGCACAGGTAAAATCCCGTGTAACTAAGGAGTATTATGGATGTTGTTGTGGCACCTACGTACATCTTGCTTGGTTTACTGGAACACTACATTAGGATCATTCATATCAGTAAATAAACTTGATAGAATTCATTATCAAAGAATGGGTGGATACCAATCCTGCAACCATCAACTTGGATGGTGGATGGCATAGTGTAATGGAGTATGTATGTATGTTTGCCACTCAATGATAAACACCATAAATCAGGTCATTGACGTTTATTAAGGACAGCACGTGCTACAACAACATCTCGCATGATATACATTATGTTCTCTATTGCATGTTGTTGTTGTGAAATGGATGGGGGCGCTGGTGGTGTCTGCATAGTCGTAGTAGGCTTCTTATTGACCGCACCAAGCTCAACGAAGCATGGCTGACTTTTTTCTTCCCTCTCCACTCCACACACCTCTTTTTGAAAATGCAATCGACACAACCCGAAGACAAGACCACCAATCAACCAACGCCCATGGAAACCGATGCAGGTCAGCAAAACAACGACAACAACTGCCACATTTCAACAAACTGAATACCGATGCATGTCATATAGCCATGGTCTCTCGCGACCTATATTCACTCATTGGAGGAGCTCCACCGATTGCATTTGTTAAGCCCACCTTCAAAGCAAAATACAACGACAAGAAAAAAGCAGCAGCATGGTATACTATCATATATCAAAAACAGCAAACTTGGATTGTTTCTAATGCGATCATATAATAAGGGTGCAACAACCATTTACAAACCCTGCACGTACCGACGATCTCACTCTTCATCATTGGATACAAGAAAGCAAACTCAATCAAGGTGAGATCAAGTATGGATGATGATAACGGTGGATGATATTCATATTTCTTTTAGAATACCCCTTCTCCAAGTTCAATCGTGTCATTGACGTACCAGATTATACGGATGAAGAATATGAGCGACATTTGATAGGTAAAGATACAAGATAAGCAATAGGTGGATTACTCACTTGTTGCTTTCAGATTCAGAATGGACCAAAGATGAGACGGATTATCTATTCAACCTTTGTCGACGATACGATTTGCGGTTTCCAGTAATACAAGATCGATACGATTTCCCTGAAAAGACACGTAGCATCGAGGTAGGTAGTAACATTGTTTGTGGTGGTGGCACATGCATGAAATCTAAGCATGATGTTTTTTCTTTTGTAAAAGGATTTGAAAGATCGTTACTATGCCGTTCAACGCAAACTGATCAAAGCACGACCTCATTTACCAGGCGAATATCATCAGGATCGACAAACGCTGATGCAACAATACGCATTCGACAAAGCCAAGGAAACAGAACGAAAGGAGGCATTGATAGCATTATTCAATCGCACCAAAGAGGAAATTGAACAAGAACAAGCATTATTTGTGGAAGCACGACGTATCGAGATGAATGAACCAAAACTTGCACGAGAACGAGAAGCACTACTCAATGCACTACAATTGGAACAAGCACAACAAATGCCAACCACGCCATTGACACCCACTGGCTCAGGCGTTGGTGCCAGTGCAGCAGCTAGCACATCAGGGGGAACATCCTTATCCACACCAGGTGGTATTGGTATCACGGGTGGAACGGCTGGAATGGATTCAAAGGTAAGTGTGTGTACCATAAGAAGAGAGGGAGATCGATGAGCGTTGACATGGTTGTATTAGAAAAAGAAAAAGGCTGCTACACAAGATGAGGGTGGTGTCAAAAAGAATAGGAGGATATCAAATGCATCTTCAGGCGTCCTCGATGGTAAGGATGACATGTTTAATAGGAAGGATTCTTGTTGTTGACTCATAGCCATAGATGTTATTCCTGAACGAAAAGAGAAGATGGTGCAAGGAGTCTATGTGCGAAGCCAAAAGTTGCCAGTAGTTACCAAGCAAGCCTTACAGCAAAAGCTTTTGAAAACAATGGCGGATATGGATATACGTAAGTTGGCATTCTCTTTTTTCTTCCTTTTGCACCAGCAAAAAGTCATTGACATGTTATGTTGCAATAGCTGTACGGCCACAAATGCCTACTGCTCAAGTGGTACAAAAGTATGATCAGCTACATCATTCTTTGGTCCATATGCTGGAGCTCAGGAAAACAGTGGACAAAATGGAAGCCGAGCAACGAGCAAGGATGCAACGTGGAGGTCATGGTGGTGGTGCTGCAGGATCAGGCTCACGGGTAAGGAGAGAAAAAAGATCATTTTCTGAAAACGATGGACTGACTTTTTTGCATGTAGCCATCTGGATCAAGAGATAAAAAGCGTAGATAAGGGTTTAGATGGGATGATGATGTAACTGCCAGGTGCCAGAATAAAATTATCCCGCTTGGTGGAAACCAGGGTCCATTATTATATCCCGATCATTTCCGATATTATCATGCATCAAATCAAGATGCGGTTGTTTCCGACAAAGATCCAAAAGACAATGAACTACAAACGAGTTGTGTGTTTATACATGTGGCAATAAACAAAAAAAAGTGTACATTATGCTATAGAATGCAAACAATGGGTGCGAACAACAAAGATCAATGATAAAAAAGTGGGGTAGGAGGGAAGGGGGCTGTGTATATATCGTGTTGGGTGTCATGTGTGTGTGTGTGAAGGTGCAGAATACAAAGGATACAATAATAAATGGCAAAGGAGTGGGTGTCTTACAGCTTGTTGCCAGGAGCCACGCTTTGTACTGGCCAAGTGTAGTTGGCGTTGGATCTGTCATAGCCATACTTTTTGACAAAGCCATCGAGCTCAGCAGGGCCACGAGAACCATAAGGATAAGTGCGTACGGGAATGGATGAATCGCTATCAATACGGTGAAGCAATGGGGTAAAGATCTTCCAAGCGGCTTCCAATTCATCATCACGCACAAAGTTGGAATGGTCATTACGAAGGACGTCGAGAATAAGTGATTCGTAAGCATCAGGAATAGCCATGTCAGTGAAGCGCTCATGGTACGACAAGTCAAGATCCGATTGAATGGTTTGGTAGGACAAGCCAGGCTGCTTGTTGTTGAATTTGATGTACACAGCCTCCTTGGGTTGGATACGCATCACCAATTCGTTACGAGGAGCACCCTTGTAAAGATTGCCAGCAACGTTGCGGAACTGGATACGGATATCCACCTTGGCATCATCCAAAGCCTTACCCGCCTTCATGATAAAAGGCACACCTTCCCATCGCTCGTTTTGTACCCATAATGTCAATGCAGCAAAAGTGGGCGTGCGGCTCTGCTTGTTCTTTAGGGTATCATCTTCCAAGTAACCAGGCTTGCCATTAGCAGCCACGTATTGGGCAAGCAAAGCATCATCAATGGTGACAGGAGGAATGCACTTTAGCACCTTGACCTTCTCATCACGAATGGCTTCGGATTCGGTGGAAATTGGACGTTCCATAGCAATAAGCGAGAGCACCTGAAGCAAGTCTAAAAAGAATATCCGAAATGAATATGGTGTACGTGTGTGTGTGGCATTTGCATTGATTCTCACGGTTCTGCATGACATCCCGGATGATGCCGAAATCATCAAAGTATCCACCACGACCTTCGGTTCCGAAAGGTTCCTTGAAAGTGATCTGCACATTGTCAATGTATTTGCGATCCCACACTTGGCTGAAGAAAATGTTGGCGAAACGCATGGTCATGACGTTCTTGACCATTTCCTTGCCGAGGTAATGATCAATGCGGTAAATCTATTATTGACATCATTGACATGTGAGCGCTTAGTAACGTGTGATGCACAAGAATGGGGATAGCCCGCTTTTTACCTCTTCCTCCTTGAATAATGCACCAAGCTCACGTCCCAATTCATTGGAACTCTCGGTATCCATACCAAAAGGCTTTTCAACAATGAGTCGATTGACACCATCACGAGAGTAAACCTCCTTCTTCACACCCTTGGCCACTGGAATAAACACAGAGGGAGGAAGCGCCATATAAAAGACACGGTTGCGATGACCCTGGGAAACACCACGATCCGCTTCATTCTTGACAAGATAGTCGTCAAGCGACTTCCACGACGCGTCATCATCATACAATCCTGAATGATATGTAGTAATGGCCTTGAACTTTTCCACTTCCTTCTCATCGGCCTTGATGTATTGAGTCACACGACCAAGGTAATCTTCATGAGTCATCTTGGTACGAGCATAGCCAACAATGTGCGTGTTTTCAGGCAAGAACCCATTACGGAAAAGTTTGAAAAGGGCAGGATAGGTCTTCTTCTTTGCAAGGTCACCAGAGGCACCCAAGACTATTGCATAGGCACAATGTCAGTAATCAGGCATACGATTCCTCCCATTTGAACCGGGATCGCGCGATCGTCCCAACAAAGACAAAGACGCGTCCTTGCATAGAGAGGGATGTTGGGTTGGATGATGGGACATTTACCGATGATAGTGACAAAGCCAGCAAGTTCTTTGGAGACTTGTGCTTGGATTTCTTGAGCAGGAGTGGGCATTGTTGTTGTATTCGAACAGTAAAAAGAAAGAAGGAAAAAAAAAGATGTTAAGAAAGAGGGGGCCAAGTTTGCAGGAGCAACAAAATAAAAATGCGACTGAGTTTTGCTTACAAAGAAAGGAAAGATGTTGGTGAAGCCCTATCGGATTATTCGGATTTCTCGATTAGGGGATAGCGTGCTCATCCTTGTTGTGGACGCGGGTTATTGCGGGAATCTGGCATAACCCACCTTTTCCCTCATTCATGACCCCCCTTCCTCATTGCACACATATTCCCCGCTACACTGATAAAGATCTCATCAACAACCTAGCATCGGGATATTCCAGCGGGATAATGGGGGACCGTGCCCCCAAAAACTATCATCCTTTTCCTTCCTAAACCTTTGCACATCATTCATTCATCATTTCCATTGGGTCGCCGAATTTTCTATATAGATGATAGAATGACCCAACATCTTCATCTACACTCTTGAATCCTCAAAAGCAGGTATAAAAGTGTGTTGCCCCTTTTTTGTTCTTTTCTTCTTGGGATGACGTGTAATGATAGGTTTAGCCGATGAAGGATGTTGCATACGAGATGACAAATAGACGACTCATCATGCGCATAGCATTACACCCTTTTGCTTAATAAGCTTTAACAAGGCGGAATCTGACAAATGACAATCCAGGGCAAGCACGAGCGCATTTAATGCATACTCAGCTTACAACATTTTCTTTCACCCACCCTTTCTTCCATGACAAACATTTGAGTAAACTGGCAGTGTACACGTATCCTTTCCTACAGCGGAAAGAACTGTATGACGCTGTTCCTTCCCTTGTCATCATCCAAAATCGGAAGGTAACAGTGCACTAAACTTTAAATGCATCCCTTGTGATACATCTCGTTATCTATTCGCTATCAGTTAAAGAGGAAATCTCGGCCTTTTTTCTCGTTTGTTCGCGTCTCAATACAAGACGTCAATCATCATGAGACTTAAAGAGATGGACGCATGTCAAAGCTGTTTTTTCATGTACACGAGGGAAAAAGTGAGCAGCCGCCATGTCAGCAATTACGTGATTGGGACAACAACTTGATTACATAACCCGCTTCATCAGCAAATTCAATCTCCCAAGTGTCTACAGCAAGCAATCGTCATGATGAAAGCATTATTAGGGATACATGGGACAAAAATGTTATTATGTATTTATCGTAAAGGTGCAGGGTACTACTACTAATGCATATGGGAGATAGCTACTACTAGATGACCATTTCCGAATGATCATTGGTGGTGGTGGGTGAAGCAAGGGTAAGCCGTAATGAAGGTTGATGATGCTTTTCAAAAGCTGATTGATATCGTTCATGATCCTCGTCTACCGCCAAAACTGAAAATACACCATGATGGTTGTTGACAGGCTTGTAGTATTGTTTACCCGTCAAACAGGTTTGCTCTTTCCAGAAATACTGCACAATGTACCAATTGCCGATGCCGACATACCACGCCACCAATACATCCACTGTGTAATGCGCACTATAGCCGGTAGTGTAATTGGTTAGGGTGTGTTTCTTGTTACCAAAGAACGTGTATATGTATACGTACCGATTCATGATAACGATAGCGCTGCCTGCAAGGACCAGCAACCAAATGATCGTTGAGATGACAACCCTTGCGATGCGTTGGTTACATGGGGGATACGTTGTCCAAACGCAGGCACAAATGACAAATAATACTGTGTGTCCACTAAACATACAATCGCCACATTTGTGGGCTGACACCTTGGTCCAAATTTGACTCGTTACCATTTCACAGCCTGCACGTGGATCTGGAAAGGATGTAATGGCCACGGTAGCGATTCGCTCCACATTGCATAGCGTCGACGTCAAGAACCATGAATGAGCCACTGCATTATTATCCATGTAAGTAAAAGGGGTTCAATAGTCAATAACAAGCATAATACCGTGAACTACTTTTCGATGAAAAACAACATGCACAATGGTTGGGAATACCAATAATGCATCAAAGAGGTCCGTCAACCAAAGTTGGTCAAGTTGAGGAAGGAAATGGAAGCCAACGTCAGGTAGTGGAGGATAAACTATGACAATGCGCATTAACATCCACCATATCAAAAGCAACGTAGTAGTAGAAATGTTGTTGTTGTACCATTGTTGTCTATGCTCCTGCTGGAGGCGATGTTGGATAAAACGCTCTAAAACCTCGTACTATATTATGATAAGGCTATACATCTTGGGAACATGGATACCATACCATCATGTAATAGGATAGGATCCATAGTATGACGATGATGGCTGTTGTTGCGATATTCTCGGGCTGCAGTTGGTATCTTTTGGGTAGCCAGGATTTGTTGCTTAAAGACAATGCCATTTGATCCAATGTAAAAGTGGTAAAATAACAGTAAAGAAAAAGAACGAATGTACCAATTGCTTCCCTTTGTAGATGACGTTGTAGTTCAGGCTGCTTGGCTTACTACGGTGTTACATTGTGCATGAATTACCGAGTGTGGTACAACATGACATGAAGACCAGATCGAAATCAGCTTTGTATGCAAGCAATTGCTCCTTTTTTTATTCTACCTCATTCGAGGTACTATCACTCGTAACGAAAAGAAAAACAGTGTAAAGCCTAATCCTTGGTCATATGCCATTCGGATGTGATCACTTTCTCCTGGATAGGATCAATCTAAAATACAAGGACACAAAGCGTTAGTAGTGTTTCTTTTCCATTTCCCTTATCCCTTCCATGCTTGTTGTTACCTTGAAATAGAGATAATCGTGCTTGTGACGCCAATAATAGACAAAGTAATAGGGTGGCTGTTGTTGTGCGGTTGTTGCTACTCCTGCATCTGCACCAGCACCCACCACAGGACCTTTTCGAACAACGTCAGACGACATGAAAAGACCCATCATCATCATCATCATCACCCCATTTATTAATGATTACCTGGCATCACCGGTGCTGCAGGTTCACCTTGCAACGAAGGAGTCAATTCATCAGGTTTCCCCAAACGTGCCAAGACATCGGCTGCTGGTGTTCCAGGTAGTCCCAATTGATCACTCAAGCCCTGTACAATACGTGGAAGAGAAGTAAGCGTCGTGAAGCGAAAGAGGTAATCCACCTTGTTCATATCACCCAAACACTGACGCGTGTAAAGGAAGAAGCCTACCTTCATAACTTTGTACTTTTCACCTTCAAAGGAATCCACGCTTTCATCGTACTCAGCACCATCGTATTTGCCTGGCCGATTGCGCAATTGCTGGAACTTTTCACCAAGGGCAATGACACTCTCGTCAGACATGTTGGAATGAGATAAAGAGAAAAGAGATAACTGAAAAGGAAAAAGGGATGTTTCAAAGCCAAGACTTGGACGCCTCGAAATTGGATTTCGTTTCCCTCGTGACGCATTCACTTTATGCGTGGATGATGCTCATCGTGTTCACTCTATTTACCCAAACATTATCATGTACTCTTTATGGTATTCCCTCAACATAAAAAACCATCTTTCACCTTGTCATTCATGTGGATGGGTCGGGGTGTGTATGGGTTACTACGCTTTGTTCCGATGATGGCTCTGCATAATGGGCATTGTGAGCGGGGTGCTTTTTTTCCGTCGGTCGAATGCAGGCCTCTGTACCTGTAATGACGCATCCTGTGAAGTAGGTTATAGTCATTCCTTTATGTCTTGATCCTCAAGCCTTCATTGTTACCCAAAGGAGCTCAAGATGATGGAGCACAACCACCCACATAACTTGGGCTTTGGTGGTGTAAGCAAACAAAGAGATAACATGGGGAGTTGTAGTCGTCTTTTACATGAGCATGTATATGGTTCATTGTTTTCATACGTTAGTTGTGGCATCTAGTCGTTGGTACAAAGAAATTTTGAATGAGTGCTGTTAACAAGATGCCTATTAGACGCATCCATATCCATAATTCCATTTCTTTCGATCGAGGGTGCATGGTATTAATAATCCAAGGATTCTACCCAGCTACATGTTGCCATAAGAATAGTGCCTTTGTCTATACGTCAACCATGTATGGTGATGGCTACTAATGTCTTGCCTGCAAAAGATAGCCATGTTATGCAAAGAAAAAAGATTCTTGATCATCACCTATTTCAGGGCATTATTGGGCACGTAGACGACCTAGGGATCATACTACTCAAGACCTTGTTGCTAGGTGTCGATCTTTGGTTTCCTAGGCAATCATTGCCATGCCAATCATTGCCATGCCAATCAACCGAATTTCTATGTTCGCTTTGCCATCACAGACATATATACCTTCACCCTTCCTTGTCAGCATTGAGCTATTATCCAACATCATTCTCTAGCTTGGTCACCAAAATACTCATCATCAACAAACCCTTGGATTGTTTCCTTTGATTGGCTTTATGTTATTGCTGCCCATCATCCTGTCAGCAACCGGCTACGACACATACCAATTTTAACATTACCAAGATCAAGCAGCTTATCTCATCAGGGCTCAAGAGCCGTAAGCGGCCACGTAGCTTTTCATCTTCGGTTCAAAAGAAATGATTGAGGGGTGAGTATCATGTATGTCACTTTTTCATGAACAAATGACGTTTTGATTCGATAACAAGAGTCTATGCATAATGCATCGAGTCGTCCTATGCAACCCAGATGCCGAAAGTCAAAGTAAGTGGCACATGGTTAGGTGGCCGCTATACCCAAATCCAAATTCCATATTCTCTCTAGATCGCGTGCATCATTCACAGCCCTTTTATACACACACTATTACTTTCTTGCTCTATCGAGATATTCCATGCAGCTGATTCTCACAAAGTCAATCCAAGACGCACTTGATACTGCACTTGTGGATCAGCCTGGATTCAGTGCGGCATGTCAACGGGAAGCAGAAACGGCTGTCAAAGCTTCTCTCAATGAAGACTATGGCATCTCCCTCACATTACTGCGTGAATTGGCTACATTCCTCGGCAAGAAACACCCTGGTAAAACATGACTTTATATATCATATCAATAATCTCATGATGCTTTCTACAGGACGGGTGTGGTTCCATGAGCTTGTGCGTGGTAGTGGCGTATACATTGAACCCAAACCAGAAGAAGACCCTGAAGTGCGTGAAAGGATATACTTGTGACATAGTGGGAGGTGGAGGCGTTGGATGCATTGCAATCACTGACACACACATCTACTTAAGGTTAAAGAAGCACGAGAAGTGTTCCTCGATCGATTAAGGCAAGAGCAACAAAACCGGGAATATGCAGCCATGGTGAGCTCAGTGGTCGGCTCTGAAAATGAAAGATTTGCTTTTGGATTACATGCGAACGAGCTCAAACAAGTACAAGGTCATATTGTCACCATCCTCAACATTGGTCTTTCAGTGGCAGCGGTCTTTACAGCAGTATATATGGGATCACGTACAATGACGGATGATGTAGGCATTGTAAGTTGGAAAGCGTAGCAAGGTCTTGGAAGAAAGGTATGGGTAACTCAACTTTTATCATTAGCGTGTCCTACTCTCTCTCGCTGGTGCATTGATCATTGCTATCGTTGAAACGGTTTTGTATATCGGTTACGCACAAAGAGTATTAGCGCCACCAAAGAAATCTAAATCAATAAAATAGTATCTTGACAAAAAAAACGCTACGCTATATTACTTTTTGGGTAGACCATACAAGATCTTCTTCCATAACATCTAGCTCTATGAGATCAGCGACTTGTGTACCAGCTTAGATGTTTGAATGGGTCGTTCGGCTTTCTAGGAACGACTTTGATCTTGAGCGTATCACGCAAGTAGACTGCCCAAAAAAATGAGACAACATGCTGGTAGGAAGCGTACATGATTAACGGAATGAGCAAAGTACTTTATTGGTTTATGATGAGATATACATGGGGAATTATAGTTCTTCCAAAGGAGCTCGAGACGAAGCACGACGATTGCTCAATGATACCCGCCGACTCTCTCCACTGCAGAAAGATTTGAAAAGACCAAGCTCTTTCCCTTTTGCGTAGCAGTCGATCCAGCCCATGCGTCCCGATATGTTGTGTTGGTGATTCTCAATAAATGAGAGCTCCTCTTCAACTGTATCATTGTCCTTCCTTGCATATAGTCTTTTCTTTGGAGGCAGCTCAACGCTTTCTTCGGTGTCTGATTGTAGGATCTATGTCATAACACGATTGTTGTAGTCGGTGGCTTTCATAATGGCTTTGTTGACCTTATTGGTGGGTGTCTGAAGAGTACTTACTTGGTGCTGTATACGACCCAAGAGAATGATACATATTGGTTTTGCACATGCTTGACAGGGTCGGTTGACAATTTGCTGAGCACGTTTCAAGCATGTATTTATGTCGCCTACAAAGGAGTCCCAGTTTCCCATCAGATTGAGAGGTTGCCTTTTGCCTACAAATATGCCTACCACAAAGGGTCCATCAAGAAACACAGCCAAATGCCATTAGGCAGTAATGAGCCCACCAAGTGATAAAGCAACAAAGTGGGCTACATAATAGATGAATGGATCATGAGTACCATCATTATGGGGATTACCTAAAGACTATCCTTGAGACTTACCAAAGGCCATTGATGATGATGATGTGCGTACAAGAAGAAAGAAAGGGCGTATGATAGGGTTGGTGACAACAGCCTTGTTTATATGCTATTGGGCGTGGGAGTTGTTGTCATGATGGATTGAACTGATAAAGTGGCCAAGCCCCATGGAGTACTGAGTCAAAGTGATGGAAAAGTAACGGTTGATAAATTTGTAGGTGACAAAAGTATGTGAATCACAAGCATGTAATTTTGATATATGGATAATTTTATGCATTTGCTACGTATGAGCTGTAAGCGTGATCGAGCTGCTTCCTTATGATTGAACATCCCAATCGTTAAAATAGAATCCTTGACAACAAAACAATTTGTATTACTTTTTGGGTGGCCATGCAAGATCTACTTCCATAACATCTAGCTCTATGAGATCAGCGCCTTGTGTACCAGCGAGGGATGCAAGATTAGGTTGTGTGCGTCCAAGATCACCATGAACGAATTCCTTGATATAAGTGCCAGCTTGTGTATTCATGGTGACAACGGCAAAGTGCTTTTCAGGCCCAGCTGAATCACCCGCCCGTGCAGGTCGTGCGATGTGTAAATAATGGATCTCCTTTTCACGAATGATGCCAGCACGACTAGATAGAATGATATCAATAATGGCCGAGTCGAATAGTGGTATGTGCCTCCTCATCTTACCGCTGAAATACACGAGCAGGCGTATTTTGTTGAATCTTGAATGGTTCTTTTCCAGCCGCATTGACCTTATCCATCATCTCTTGTGTCACCGGATCTGACATCCATACCAATGCTCTGACAAAATGAATCAATTCAGGCTATCCCATTATATCCTTAGCCAAACTCTACCTGTAAGTCTTTCGTTTAAATTGCTCGCCTTCTTTGATGATCTTGGTATCCTTTCTAAGGAGCATGGACATTGCTCAATCAACCCATTCCAAAGATAAATGGTCCCAGCCCTCACCGAAAATACTCACGGATTGATATTGGTAAGGTCTCTCAATTGTACAGCAGCCTTGGTGTCTGAAGAGTTGATTGTGCTTTGCATGGTGTCGTACTCTTCTTGAGCGAACTTGGCGATGCGTGGGTTGATCAACTCGAGGTAAAATGGTCTTCCAGTGCCAAGCATTCGTACATTAGCATCCTCTCTTCCGGCAGACACAAATTTGTATCCTACCCATATACAATTAGTTCCACCATGTAACAACCAGCTATAGGTCTTACCATCGCATCGATGCTGGGTTTTGATCAATTCACATATAGATTCTGAAACGCTGTTCTCGGCCAACTTTTTGCCTTTGATGCTCCATGGTGTCTGGCTAAATTCACGTGACAACTTGATATAGCGACCTGATAAATCCAAAATCAGTAAATCCATCATTCCCCCCCATCTTGAATACCCATTACTCACCTGCCAAGTACACTGAATCATGCATAAGATCGAGACTTGCTAATGTTGCAGACGTTGTTTGCTGTGAAGGAGGAACCGAAGTCAGGCTATCATACGAGCATCTTAGTAAGTAGTCTATTAATCTCCCTAAAGGTATACTTACGATCTCGCCTCATCATCCGACAATGCATTAAGAGCTTCAGCTACGGTGGATCTCGAATCACCAAGAATCGTTATCTTGCCCTGATACAAAAGAACATGAGAAATGAGACTAAATCCTTTTCTTTTCCAGAAAGATGCCTTACTTTTCTTTGCTTTTTGCGAACCTTGAGCACAGGATTCTTTGCTTGGGTCAAAAACATATGTTCGGTAGCCGTAGGTTCATGTGCCATAACAACTGTCATCCGTAATGGTCCCTCGGTATTGATATTGAGTCCCAACTTGTTTCGCAGCAATTTGGAAATGAGATGCTTGAATGGCTCCTTGGGTTCTCGAGGAACGACCTTAACCTTGAGCGTGTCACGCAAATGAAGTGCCAAAAGATGATCACGAGGCAACATGCTGATAGGAAGCGTGCATGATAGATTCACTTGTTTGGTCTGATAGCCTTCGCGTTCGAAACGTTGTTGTAGATCATCCGAAAACTCTGTATTGTCAGGAGCAGAGAGACAACCAAGACACGCCGTGCATACGAAATCGGACGCTTGATCTTGATTGCCGAGCAGCTTTGCAAATGCAGCACCAAGATCCTAGAGTGCATAAAGAGGTGTAAGGTTGGCGATCGCGTGTATATAAATGTGGAAAAGCACCTGCCTGTTCCGGTACAGCATACAGCTTTAATGGTCGACACGACAAGAATCGAAGACAACAACGGAAGCAGCATTGAGCCTCTCTCAGTTTGCGAACAATGGACAGCGATTCCTCTGGATTGTCACCAAGTTGAGACTGGATTTCCTTGAACACGTCCATGGTGGTGGTATAACGTCAAAAGACAAGAAGTGAAAAATTGGTCGGTGTTCCTTTTCCATCAACCCTCCCCTCTTTATTGTAGATCAATGTTCATTTCTCAAGTAGACCTGTGATATAGTAAAAGACTACTTAGACATCATGTAACTCTTCCTCAAATATCAAATCCATGCTTTGGAATAAGATGCCATATATCACCGCTCACCTTGTCATAATAAAAGTCGAAACATTGGCTTGTTAGCTAACAATTGGATTGATGCTGGCACAAGTAATGAGGTTGCTAGTGAAGGTACATACAGTGGTGACGATGGCCATCATCATCAACCATGATAAAAGAATATCAAAGAGGGTTGAATATGACAGCTCCTCCAACAACGAGCAGGCAAACATCCAAGTGAGCGTGTTGCATGGCAACGACTCTCTACTAAACGACTAATAATGAAGCCAATGGAACAAAGAGGTCCAATAATGAGCATGAAAGACTACTTTTCAATGACAACTCGACAATGACATGTAATAGAATGAAGCATGCGTTTATTGTGTTGTACGACAATGGGTTCGCATAATGCACCTGGACACATTGAAAACTAAAGCCGTCACAGAGCTCAGCATCGTGAGATTTCCCCAGCTTGTTTGAATGCAATAGCGGTGTTGTTTTGGTTTTCCTTCTATACACACTCTCTCCCCATGGCTGCCATTCTCGAAAAGATTGCAAAGTTCGCCATTCCCGCTGGTCTTGTTGTCGGTGGTCTTCAGTCTGCCATGTACGATGGTAATATCACCCTCGATCCAACATGCTAAAAAACACGCGAGCTGAAATGTTTACTCTTTTTTCTTCCCCAGTCCAGGGTGGATACCGTGCTGTCATTTTCGATCGTGTGCAAGGTGTCAAGTCTGATTCCTCCGGTGAGGGCACTCATTTCCTTGTTCCTTGGCTTCAACGCGCCGTTTTGTTTGATGTCCGTACCAAGCCTCGCAATATCTCCACCACCACTGGTTCCAAGGGTAAAGAAAAAAGATGTGTGTATATAGAGAAGCAGGGATAGTGACATTCCTTCTCTTGAAAACTAGATATGCAAATGGTCAGCTTGACTTTGCGTGTGTTGCATCGTCCTGAGATCAAGAACCTTCCTGTCATTTATCAAAACTTGGGTCTCGATTATGATGAGCGTGTGTTGCCATCCATTGGTAACGAAGTCCTCAAGGCTATCGTCGCTCAATTCGATGCCAGTGAATTGATTACTCAACGTGAAGTTGTCTCTGCCAAGATCCGTGAAGAGTTGTACAAGCGTGCTAGAGATTTCAACATTGCTTTGGAGGATGTGTCTATTGTAAGTAGGGGAGGAGAGGATATGGATGCCATGACAACAACAACCATCTCATCTCAAATTTTTATTTAGACCCACATGACCTTTGGCCGTGAATTCACCAACGCTGTCGAACAAAAGCAAATTGCTCAACAAGAAGCTGAACGTGCCAAGTTTGTTGTCGAACGTGCTGAACATGAACGTCAAGCTGCTGTCATCCGTGCTGAGGGTGACTCTCAAGCTGCCGAATTGATCTCTCAATCCTTGGCTAAGGCTGGTCAAGGTCTCGTTGAATTCCGTCGTATTGAAGCTTCCAAGGAGATCGCTGGTACTTTGTCCGCTTCTCGCAACGTCACTTATCTTCCCAGCGGCCGTGGTGATGGTAGCAACATGCTTTTCAACATTGGTGCATAAACAACTTGTCGAGGATGATTTTGGAATGAAAAATGAGAGCGCTGTTTATATACACACACACACTTATATAAAAGAAGACACAGAGTATATAATACGACATTGCATTACGGAATACATGATTGCTTAAAAGTGGAGGGAGGGGGTGGATGAAGCAACAATAGCAGCAGGGATACGCTTCAATGAGGAGGTTGGGGGAAGGAAGGAAGGAAAGCTTGACGAAATAAAAAAGAGCCTGCATGCATTCACCATCACTAGATGTCTAATGGATGCTGTAGTAGGAGTTTTAGTATACTTAATCAAGACAAATAGACTATGATTTCTGATCATGTGGTTCTGTTGTGGTGGGGGATCTACTATGCGTCTCATTTTGAGAGATGTAATTATAGTAACTTTGGATTTCTTCTTCTCCTGCGGGTGGTGGTGGCTCATTGGTAATGGTAGGTTCTTCTGGCTGCTGTATTGCCACTTGGGGTTGATAACTCGGCACGCGTTGTCTGCCATTATTATTATGTTTAAGGTCATCATCGTTTTCAGACAATGTCCCAATCAAGGTGTTACTTGGGGACACGCCTAATTCTTGGTCACGTTGGTTGAGGCTTGCTTTACTTGGGCTATAGGCCAATTGGGGCATGTATTGTCGTTTCGATACCATGGTAGACAAAGAGGATCGCTGATCAATACTAACAAGCGTATCAGCTGTCAATCGTTTCGCATCTCTACTTGTATAGGCTGGTGGTGGGTGCAAGTGATAGGCACTATTTTCACGTAATGTGCTATGACCCGATTCACTATCTTTCCGTTGACGCTGATTGTACCCCCAAGGTTGATTGTTAGCTGATGATGGTGATGTATGGTTGTTTGTTTTTCTTTTTCGAAGAAGGAAAAATGCAGCTAGACAAATCACTATGACCCCACCTATTGTGCCGACAATCGGACCGATAAGATGGGCATTGTTGCTATTATTGTGATCCTGCTGATCCACGTTGATACTATTATTATTGTTGGCGAGGGGTGTAGTAGTCGAGGCTGGTGAATTGGTTCCAAAATTTGGATCACTTTGAACCACAGCACTGGATGGTAGTTGCACGACAAATGTTGGCATGGCAGATGCAGAGTGCATTGTTGTTGAGCTAGCTGCTGCTGCTGTTGCTGCTGTGGTGGCAACTGATGGGTGCAACATGGTTGCTGGTGCTGATACTAAGTTGCTGTAGGGTCTAGGTAGACGTAACAATGTCGATGGACCTGCTCTACCGTGTCCATAATACTTTGATCCATGAACTTTGGGTGCCGTTGTCGCACTTGCATGATAAGGATGACGAAATGTGGTGGTATCCATGGTGATGGCCAAGTATCATACACGTAAAAAGTAATCCCGACAATAAAAGGAAGAGTGATTGTGAAAAAGAAAAGTATCGGTGCGTATCGTAAAGTGACAAGGATATCAAGTGAAAAAGAAAAGAAAGGAAAAAGTGAGGAGTTGGGGGCCAAGTAACGGCAAAACACTGTTAGGGGAAGATGAGGATCAGATATGCAGGACAAGCTGTGCCCAACGACTCCCCCACTCCCCTCCCATAAGAGCATAATCGGTGGTGGTATAGGTGGGTGCTTTACACGTATGAATGGGCAAGTCATTGTTGATGCATTATTGAGCCATTGATTTATCCTTTTTGTATACATCAATGCGCTTCATATTTGCCATGATTGGACGAGCGCATCCTTTTGGATCTTGCATGGATGACATTTGAAAGCTAACCTGTCGACACCAGCTTTGAAGGCGTGATGCTGTAGTTGGTGAATTAAATCGAACAATGTAATAGTGCAGCTAAACCATATCACTCGTATTTGCTCGCCAATCTAACAATGGTGGATATGCATGCACTTTAATGTGAAACGGATTGCAGGCTAAGTTTACTCGTGATGATGATGTTGTTGATGGTGGTTATCTTATTCTGCAGCAAATCCATGCTTTGCCATATGTATCCAAAAGTGAGGGGTGCCTACTGATGGCCCATCATCTCCCCTTTCTCCAAGTTGCCCTTTCGCTTTCTCGCTGGAACTTAACAAGCACATCCTGCGTCTCCTTGTGTGTGACATGAAGGTAAAACCCACTTTGATAAAAGAGTTGTTACAGAATGTTGCACAAATAAAAAATAGAAACACTATCTATAGCACTGCAAGTGGCGTTAATTCATGAATGGGGTGGATTAAAAGTGATATCCATAACCTTCTAAATGGCCAAATGGGCAGAAGGCTATTGTCATGTGCTGTGGAATGAAAGGTGTGTGTGTGTGTTGGGGAAAGGTGGGATTTGTGTGAGTGAGCAAGCACATGCTGATATCTGATAGGATGAAATTATTGAAACGCCGCATCGGTGGGTGGAAAGTGGGTAAGATGTTTGACGCAATCAGAAACTGCATTCGTCATCATCTCTTCTTCCTCATTGTTGCCGACGTCGACAAGTATTATCGTCATCAAAAAAAAGTTGCCTCACCATACCCAAAGCTATCCTCCTGCGGAAAAAAATCGAATCACCGACGATCAAGAAGCATCCCCTTAATACTTTGAAGTGTCTGTGCCTTGGTTTTATTGCACGTTTATAGTCTCGGTATGAGCTTAATAGAAAACAAGAGAACAAGAAAAAACTTTTTTTCTTAACGCGATAGTGGTAGAGAACAGCCTTTTTCCAGCTCACGCTTTTATTACTCGCTTATCTATTCTTCTATACTTGTGTTGTATCATTACCACGTTATACATCCTCAGTGTATAAGCCAACACCATCCACTGTGTCCAAAAAGCCGCTGACCAATCTCGCGAATATACCACGCTTTCACCATCATCCAGCAGAATTAATAGCGCCTTTATCATGACCGACAGCACAGCGTCCTCCACCTTATCATCCGACAACCATCATCAAAACGAGTCACGAGAACAACCTCTTTCCACCAAGCGTACAGCTTCCGATGAACCTGACAATGCGAAGGATGCAAAGTTGCGCAAGACATCAGACTCGCCAGAACACCCCATCAAAGTTGAAGTAGAATCGGCCAATGACAACAATGGGAATGGATCGACAACTTCTCCCAACCTCAACAACGGCACCCAAAATGGTGGCACCAACAATTCATCCACCTCGAACGTAGATAACAAGTCTTCGAGTAACGGCGTACAATGCAAATCAAATGAAGCAACATCCAATACTGAAGCTGTAGATGCAGCAGCAGTTGCAGCAGCGGCAGCGGCAGCAGCAGCAGCAGCAGCAACGAATGGTAGTGACATGTTGACTATACCCACAACACAAGGACAAGGAGCAGGAACAGCACCCACAGCAGCAGCAGCAGCACCTCCACCTCCACCAGGACCAGCAGCAGCTCTTGCATTCATGAGTGAACAACAACAGCATCAATTTCTACAGACCTATGCACAAGCAAGTGGACAAGATCTTGCCAATTTGACTGCTTCATCCTTGGCACAAGCAATGGTATCCCCTATCGCCGTGCCTGGTCTTAATCTATTGCAACATCTTCAAGGTGGTAATGTCATCACTGCGTTGCCAGGTCCACCGCAAATTGCCCAAGCAACAGCACTTCCACAGCCTACTGATGGTACAGCAACGGCAGCAGCAGCAGCAGCCACTACAACATCATCAACCAATGATTCGAATAATGGAGGATTGGATGAGGATGCACAAAACAAACGCAATACCAACACACGCAACATGTCGAATGATGAACGAAGGCAGCGGCGTTTATTACGCAATCGAATGGCAGCCAAGGAGTGTCGTAAAAAGAAGAAGCAATACATTCAAGACATGGAAGATAAGATCAAACATCTCGAAGAAGAGAATGCACGGTTACACAAGCAAGTGGATGAGCTCAACGCCAAACTAGCACTTGGATCAATGCAAGGCTCGTCTGAAAGTTATCGCCTAATGAAGGAAGTGGAAGAGCTCAATGCTAAATTGGGTATGGGTCATTTGCCTACTACCAATGGTGTGTTTACTGCTGCCATCATGGCTGCAGCCTCAGCCCAGCAACAACAACAACAACAACAACAATCACAAACAACATCACCACAATCACAATCACAATCTTCATCATGTGCACTACAACAACAACAACAACCCCATCCAACATCCAATCCATCTTCTTCCTCTTCTTCACCGACCGTTGCTACACAGCCACATAATGACACCACAACCACAACCACAGCCAAACATGAGGCTGATCAAGCGTCTCCAGGCACAGCAGCAGCGCCAACAACAGATGACAAAGCCCAGCTTGTGGAACTGATGGCGTCTTCTTCGGAGCAAACAAAACTGGAAAACTGAATTAGGTTGATTCTTTTCATAGCACATCCCCTTTTTAGCACAAGGCATTGCAAAGGGCTCTCACTTGACCTTTACGCACACTCTCTCTTCCCGTACCATATCATTCGTCCTACACTAAAATAAAACCCTTTTTCCAGTATTTTGGATATATACACACCCATTCCAATTGTATATAAAAAAAACTTGTACTCACAGCCCACATGTCCTTTTTTTGTGCTTGTTTTCTTTTCTTTCTTTCTCTCTCTAATCAACATTATTCATACATCCGTTCACGATGAGGACTGTCAAGTATTTACTGGCAGCGATTGTGCTCGCTTTACTTGTTATCATCACATCGCTTTATCGTCAATCCAATTCAGTGCAATCCGCTTTCCAATATTTACGACGCCCTTTCATTATCACGAGCACAACAACATCACATCGTCATCATGATCCAAACGAAAAGTTCTTGACATTTTATCCCCATTCAGGATTACATAACCAACGCTTGGGATTATTGAATGCCATGGTGCTTGCCAAGGCTCTCAATCGTACATTGGTTCTTCCTCAAATCAACCTTGGTCGTGGTACTCACTGGGCCGCATCACCCAAGCTTGCTGTGCGAATGGCTGAATGCCCTGATCTCCCCATACCCGAACGAAGAGGAGGTGGCTGTGCCGATTATCGACGTTACATTCCTGTGCCAGTATCCACTGTATTTGACCTTAGTGTTTTGGATGCCGTTGGCATTCCTTACATTGAGCGAGATGATATGCACGTTTCTTTTTTCTACAACGAGCTTGGTGTATACGATGATGACATGTACCAAGTCAATGACAGCAGTCGCTTTTCGTACCGAATTTATGGCACTCGCAATACCACAACAGGCGACTTGAGGCAATTTGAATACCGCCTTGATCTTGAAGACTTGGCCATGCGACCTGAACGAGCGCTTGTTTTTGGTTCATTGTTTGGTTCAACACGTTTGGTATTGGATCAACGACCGGATTTATCATGGCTACACCGTTATCTTTCGGGTGAACTTGGCTTTGGTCATCCCACCGTGGTGCAACAAACCCTCAATGTCGTTTCTCAATTGGGTGGCCCTGGTGAATTTGTCGGTGTCCATTTACGCACAGGCGATGGTGTTTTCAGGGTTGTCATGGAACAAACCATGAACATGGTACGCCAAACCCTTCAAGGCTTAAGCCCCAATCAAAACCACGTGCAGCAGCAGCAACTCGACTCAATTGAGCATTTGCAATCATTGGGACAACAAAATCAAATTCAAGAATTGTTGCACGAATGCGTCTCCTTACAACACAACCGCCATGAACACGATTTGCATCATCGACTACGCCTCATTTTCATGGCAACAGACGCTGCTCAGCCGAGACAAACATTGCCCAGCTTGTATAACGAGTTTGTGTGTCTCTTTTCTCTATCCGATTTTGACGATGTCATTCAACAAACCATTACTTCATCATCATCATCATCCAATGATAACAGCAACCTTGGTCCTCTTTTGTTACCGCTCTTGGATGCTGAGGTGGCCTCCCATGGTGAATTCTTTGTTGGCACTAAAAGAAGTACATTCTCGAAATACATCGAGTATCGCAATCACCGCTTCTTGTCCTACTATCCAAACCTCGCAACTTTGTCACTTTGATTTCCCACACACATACATCCATTTATATATATAGCACATATCAAAACATGCATTCTATGTAGTCCCCCTTTATACACACACACACACATTCCCATGCGCATGCGCATGCAAAGCCTTCCTCATTTGTTGTATTATGTACAGTAGCAGTAGTAGCACTTTTGCATCCTTTTTCCTTTTATCCACCACCACCATCACCATCATTGCATCGTACACCACCAAGTTACGGATTTGTATAATTGTCTTCATTCACACCGCACACTCTCATGCACGTATATTATCCTCATCCACACACCACACACACACAGCACACGGGTCATGTACAAAATAAAAATAAGAGATATCCTATCGAAAAGAAAACGACATGTCATCTTCCGAAGACTAAATGATAACATGTTTAGCTTCCTTCATCCCACAATCATGGATAAGTTGATACTTACATCGTCTCCATAAGCGCTAAAGTGGTGTAAAAAAGCGATCAGTTATCGTGTTTTTAACAACAACGAAGGAAAAAGGACTTACGGATCACCCAAAACGGTTTCAAGATCACGCACTTGATTCTTAAGGTCGTTTTTTGTCGAGATGAGTTGACGTATATGATCAATGGCTATAGAAAAAAAGCGTCAGTAATCCATGGGTATCCACTATTCTTTAATTGTTACATTTTTGCAGTATCAGAGCTTCCTAATGAATGGGATGTGTGAATAATGATGGCTACAAAAGGATGGATGTGTAATAAACTTACACTCCGATTGCCATGGTTGAGGGAAGGGACAATGTCAATGAGTTGGTCAAATCCGAGCCGGATGTTTTGACGTCGCTTCTGCTCCGAGGCAATGTGGTTGGCTTTTTTCTCGGCTTCCGTGAGTAATTCATGCGGCGCCTTCCGACATCGTCTTGTGTTGGTTGCTGGTTTCTTATTGCTTGGACCATCATCCACTTGGTCACCTTCTTGCTCTGTTGTTGTAGAAGTAGTCGTTTCAGGTGTTGATTGTTGTTTTCTCTTTCGGCTGGTATTATCTATGTCCTGTGGGTCATCGGCAGGTGCCAATGCTGTAGCTAAATGGGAATGACACTGTATCAGATGCGGGGTCGATCAAAGGCATTGGGTTGGGTTGGGGATGTCAATGGACCTGTGTGTTGAGTATTGTTTTGCATATCCATGAATGAAAAAGACAACTAGACATTCGCCCAGGTAAAAAAAGTGAAAGAAAAGGAAAATGTTATATTCAAAGAAGAATCAATCGAGACCAAAAGACAAAGGAAACCCGATTCCGGTAATGCACGTGAAGTGCAGGGTTAATGTCGGATTCACGTGCTATGCTAATCCGATCTACAATAAATTTATCGGCTGGTGGTTTCAATGTAAGAGCGGTGCAAATGCTTGCTCCACAAAACGATGACCAGCATCCTCAATCTGCTGATCGGTGTGTGCTTGTTCCACCATCACTGGATAATGCGACATGCCGCGTTCAGCCAAACGTTCAATCAACCTATCATCACAACAATGATTGTTATTGGATAATACGCAACAACACGTGTCATCATACACGTACTTTTGATCGAGAAGATGGGCATCGGTTGGTGTGGGACCATCAAACGTAGTTTTATCCGTCATGAGCACACCATACTTTTTTCCTTCGAGAGGACTACTATCCTTGTTATCCAAAAAGTGCTTTTCAAATACGGAGAGTGCACCACTAGACAACATTGATGATGGTGTCAATTTTCATTCCTACATCACACACACACCCACACACCACGCACGCTCACACTTTACTCACGTGCTTGAAAAGAGAAATGCGTCAGCCGCAAGCATCACCACGCCTTCAATATCTGTTGTTTCATGCGTATAGTCCTTCATGCATGCCGCTGAAATGCTGTTAATAGGTGTGTGTATACGTATCATCATAGGCAACTTACCCATGGGCGAATAAGAGATATCCTTGATCTCGACTTCAACGTCCTTGTCCTTACTCTCGATACCTTTGGCCAGCAATTTAGCCTTTGATTCAGCATCTATGTGTGTTCATTGTTAGCCAACATAACAAAGAAGGACAAAGAAGACAATAAAACCATCACACACCTTCTGATTTATCAGCGAAAATATGTACACGGGGCATAGTAAACGATTACGTATTAAAAGAAGAAAGATGGTGGTGGTGGGAGGTAAACGTCTTTTATGCAAATGGTGATGGTGGGGTGAATACCCCGGTAAAAGTATGGGTGTTAGATGACAGCCTTGATCTGTCGTCTCGTCAATGCAAACTGCACAGCGGGAAACAAATTTCGTGTTACCATGGCAAGACACAAGGCTCTTTCTTTTTTGTTTCTCTTTCCCTCCTCTCTTTTTCGCTCTCTTCTCACGCCCTTTTTTCTTTCCCTCGCTGACTCTTGATGATTCAGGTATCCACAAACCTTTACCTTGTTATTATTATACTTGATCACAAAGAGATGCTTAATCTTGTATTGGGCTCTATTGGGCTCACGCGTCTAATCTATAATAGAATCACCCCACTACCAACGGTACAACTCCGGCCGAACCTAAAAGCAAACATCATCACCGTGGACGTCGTGGAAGTCGTCGACGTACATCCTCTGCTAGTCATCAAGATGATAGCCCAGCTTTGCAATCCATCCAAGACCTTATTGCAGAGATGCGTCGTCTACCCCATTTGGATGATGACTCTGCTGATCGTAACAACCACCTCAAAATACACGATTGGCCTTCACAACGTAGCCGGCGTCATTCTGAACCACCACTTGGACTCTCATCCAACACAGCAACAGCTATACAACAACAACAAGAACCTCCTTCACCATCATCCTCTTCCACACATCCATTGGCTGTTGTTGGTACTACTACTACTACAAGTCCTACTACTACTACTACATCTTCAACAATATCATGGTCAGCCATAGCGGCACAAAATCCAGAAAAAGCACCAGTGGGAATACATGGTGCATCATCATCATCATCATCATCAGCAGCAGCAGCAACGGGTCATCTGGCAGTTCCATTTCCGAAAAGGGGACGTAGCCGATCATGTAAAGTGTATACCTATATACATCCATGCATCTACTAGGATACTAATAGCCACATGCTTAGTACCCCATATTACAGTACCTGCTCCATACAATGGTCAACAAGCACCAACAACAGCACGACGACAATTGTATGCCACCCATCTTCCTGTACCCGATGCCATGCATCTTGTTGAACAACACGAGTTGTATGCTGGTACTTTGGCTGTTGATTGGAAAGATAGCTCTGACGCGTATGTGGTATGTGAAGAGCTTGGTCGTATTTACATTTATGGATCTCGAAATCGCAACCGTGCTTTACATGGTGACATGGTGGCCGTCGAACTAGTGGATGTTGAAACCATGATGGCTGAAAAAGCTGCAAAAAAGCAAGCGCGTCGTAGATCCTCGGTGATGCTATCAACCTCATTGCATTCGATTCCTGAAAACGCACCTAGTCCAACGTATTGTGGTCGTGTTGTCAGCATCCTTGAAAGACCCAAACGCATGTTGTTTTCCGGGTACGTTGTCAAGGACCCAATGTTGTACATGTACTCACCCTTTTATGTAGCACATTGGCTATTGATCGTCCAAGCAGCACCCAACAACAACAACAAGAGCAACAACATGACAAAAGAAAAGGACCACCTAAAATCATTTGGTTTGTGCCAGCTGATAAACGACTCCCACTTGTGGCAGTGCCCGTCAAACATGCACCTTCAGGATTTCTCAAGCATCACGAAGAATTTAAGAATCGTATATTCACCGTAAGTGAATACATGCTACTGCATGCTTTTATGTATAACGCTTTTTCTTTTACAGGGGAGTGTACAACGTTGGCCAGTGACATCCTTACATCCTTTTGGTTCTATTGAACGCGAAATTGGGTGGATGGGAGAACTTCCAGTACATTCCAAAGCATTGATGTCTGATCACCATCTCAAAGATATCGATTTTACACCTACTGTGCTTCAAGAATCATCCACTTGCCCCAATCATGCTACGGCTACTGGTAGTCCTCATGAAAAAGAGCATGGTCGACTCGATTTGAGATCGCTTCATGCCTTTACGCTGGAATCCAATGGTAACAACATCATCCCATACACCACGTCGACATGCCAAGTTGCATATTAACGATGCCTATTTATTATTAAGATCATGCGTTTTCGATCAAGCCATTGGATAATGGTTTGTTTGAGGTGGGTGTACACGCGGTCGATGTGGCTAGCATGATACGACCCAACACCATCACCGATCGTGAGGCTCGTGAGAGAGCTGTGGCTGTACGACTTGTTGAGCGTACCGTGCCTATGCTTCCAGAAGCATTTGCATTAGAGCATGCAAGATTGATACCCGGAAAGGAAAGGTAAGAGAAAGAAAATGGCCTATACATACGACAAGCAATGTTGTAATGAATGTATATCATTTCAGGCCGGCTTTGTCGGTTCTTTGTCATGTGACCAAGAATGGAAGCCTGATGCATACCTGGATAGGCAAGACGCTGATACAGTGAGTGAAAGGCTAACAACATGGCATAGGGGTAACCATGATAGCTAACGGGTTCTACTATGATAGAGCGTGTGAAGGGATGAATGATATAGATTATCAAGACCAACTTTTGGACATTTGTCAATCATTGCAAACACGTCGTATTCAAGAAGATGGTGGATTATGCCTTGCGCGATCATACCAAAAATTTGATATAATGAACGACAATGGATATCCATGTCAAGTGACACGTGTACATGAGCACAAGCATGATACGAATGTACTTTTACGAGAATTGATGGTGTTGGCAGGACAGCAAGTAGCACAAAAAATCTTGAGCAGGTTCTCGGAAGAAGCCTTGCTATGTCATCAATTAGAAACCACTGCATGCTCATCGTCCTCTCAGCAGGTGAGTATAGCAACCATACACTACGTGCCCCGTCATACTAACGTCACCGTTTTAGGACTTGGTCAGAGATTATTTGGAAAAGGACACTGGGTCCTTCACAGAGTTGATTAAGGCTGCTGAACAAGTAGTGGATCAAAACAAGCGCGATGCGTTATTACACATGTTGCAACCCAACCCAGAGAAATACGTTTGCAGTGGCACCTTGGATATTTCTCAGTACCGACACGGTGCCTATGCCGTACCATTGTATACCGTATTTGCACAACCTCTTGACAAGTATGCATGTTTGGTTGTTCAACGTCAATTGCATGCGGCACTCAAAGGAGGTAAATGATCATAAGCATCATCATAGAGAGCGTGTATGCTAATTATTATTGCCGTTCTTCTATTAGAGGGTCCATGTGAGAAACAACACCCTATTGAAAAGGTGGCTCGGCATTGTAATTCCAAGGAAGCTGCCGAGCGAGATGCTGAGCAAGCGAGTAAAGCACTGTATACATCAGCCTATGTGTACCGTGAATGTCTTGAAGGACGACCTGTCATTCAGCAAGCGGTGGTCATAGGTATTCAACATCACGCACTGACGCTATACATTCCCGATTATGATCTTCAAAAGGACGTGCATTTGCTCAACCATCCAGGGCTATTGCATACTACTTTTCATTCGGCCGACCATAGTATGGAGTTGACATGGGAAGGGGATGAGATTTCTCAAGCTGAAGAAGAACCACCATCCTCTTCGTCAGTGGCAGCAGCAGCAGATGATCATAATAGTGACCTCGTGTTGACCGTGGATGATGAAGAACACGGCCTACGACACACATCCACGTCCATAGTTGAATTTATGTCATGTATTGATATTAGGATCACGTCTGATATGAAAGTTGTCAGGCCATGTTTGGATATCCAATTGGTCAACCCACTCTTGCAGTAACCCTCTCCCTGACCTCATCTCTTTTGTACACCTCTCCCATGATGCATAACTTAATAGTGTTTTATTTCAAATCAACGAAGGATTATTACATGTTACTTGAGTCTCGTTTTATGTGATGGTGAATAGGGAAAAAGATACATAGCAACCGTTGCTATTGGCTACCCACTGAAAAGGAATCTTGAGTATTGAAATAGGCAAGGTCGGCAATGCATCTTCGCTTCTCAGCCAAGCCATCCTTTCTTTTTCTCCAGTTGTTTGAGCCCACCACCTCCTGCATTATACCATGGCAACCGAACAAGAATTCCAGCGTACGTATGTGTATACCATTGACCGATGTAATGGAGCACTTGAGTCTAATGGGCAAGTTTTGTTGTGTTTTAGAAAAGCTCAAGGCTTGCTGTAGCATGGCTGAGACTTACCTCGAGGACATCAAGATCGATCGACCTGTTACCGACGATGCCTTTGATACCGCCGATCTCCAAGACAAAATGAGTACGTATAGGAAGCGAGAGAGAGATATCTATGTGTGTGTGTGGATGATAGACTTAAATGGTGTATGTATGATATGATAGGCAAGCTTGCCAAAGTATTATCACATGATGCGACCAAGTTTACGATTGCATGCAAACCACCACGCAAGCCAGCTGAAGGCGTTCGTATGGTGGATGAGATGAGCAACACATTCTTCAGATTGGTGGGCTTTTACAATACCATTCCTGCATCCGCTGGTCAACAATATCGTGATACCTATCGCAAGGCTATACGTGATCTTTTGATGGGAGCATTATCCTTATGGCACGCATTTCGTGATGATGGCAACAAATTCATGGTACCAACGGCAGCATTGTGGGAGACTTGCAAAATGATGGAAACGGGGTTGCCCGCCAATAATCAAGCAGCTGTCCTTGCACAATGGAAAGACATGCAGGCCACGATGGAGGATGCCAAACAAGAAGTGCATGAGCTTGCAGAAGGTGGTGATGATGATGAAGATGGAGACATTGAACCAGAAATGAAGCCTGTTGCTGCTCAATGTGCCAAGCTGGTGGATCTTGCCGTGTTTGTCAGCACAAAGATTGAACGACGATGTCTACGTGAGACAAAGGATGTCAACATTTGTGATCAGTTGTATATCAAGTCCAGTGCTCTTGCCGATGAAACGGATGTGGTGGTATCACAGCTCTATGATGTGGATGATCCAGAGATTATGCGCACAAAGCATATTGCTGCATACGTTGATTGTTTATGTGATCTCATGGCTTTTGCGCAAAAGCATACTACTGAGGAGCACTCAAAATGGTTTGAGGTACGTAGACAAAAGAAAAAGATTGGGATAGTACAACGAAACTTACATACCATATATTATTTACATACACAGATGGGCATCAAGAAGGTACGAGAGATTGCAGAAAAGAAACAATAGATAGAACAAGGGCATGTATATGTACAACAAAAGTAAACGAATAGTAGTATTATGTATCTACCGTGCCGATTGTGGATCGATGAAGGATGCGAGAGTAATGGCTGACATGGTGCGTTTTCTTAAAAGAGATGCATAGGAACGTGTTGTGGGGCTCGGAGGAGATCCGACATCTTCTTGAAGTAGGGGTGACAGCAATAATTCACTGGGTATCTGTAAAAGAGGCATGACATGTGTAAGCATGCATATGTATATACCATCATGGGGTCTTAAACCATAAACTAGGCTCTGAAACACTTGCCGTGATAAACTCGGGTTGGTATTGTATCAGCAAACGAACGACTTCGATTTCTTGCAAGCCCGCTGCTGCTGCTATACTTTGATGAGGCGATGTTGTTGCTGAGGGTGGAGCAACAAGCAAACTTGGTGTCAACACAAGAGCAAGATTTTGAGCTGTCATTTTGTTTTTGGAGTGAAGTGACGCGACTTGGTTCCAGAAAAGACATAGCAATTGCAATAAATCACGGTTTGGTTTGGGTAGCATGCAGCAAGCAAGATGAAGAACTGTTTTGGTCTCCTTTTCAGTAGGCATTCCTAAAGAGTAGTGTACATAAAGGAGGTGATGATCAGCAAACAAGGTATGTGTGTGGTTCACAAGACATGTTGTGTATATACTTACGGAGACTTGCAACAAACAAAGAATGAAGTTTATAGGTAAGCAATGGCTCTGGAAGATCACGCAAGTATCTTTTGAGTATAGCTGCAAGTTGAATAGCTGAAGTGTCGTGAAATAAACGTTGTATGTATGGCTCATCATGATCGATCTTGTTGCACATGTCTCTGAGATCACGAATGTTACCATTCTTGCGAAAGATGCCTTCGACGGTGAGATCTACAAAAGCATCATGGTGGTCACCTGCATCAATACATGGTTTTTGTGTGTGGGAAAAAAAAGAGAGGTGTGTATATGTACCTTGTTGGAGTAAAGCCAAAATGCAGTTCTGCATGATCGGTGGAATAGCTGCACTTTTTGAGAAACAAGCAGCCATGATCGGGTGATGGGTCATCATGTATCCTATGGCGTCACCACGTGTCGTTGTGTCGTTCCCACCATCATTGTTTGCCATTCCCCAATCCACATTATCCAGGGGTTGACCAAAAACACGTCGTTGATGAGCGTGTTCATTAGACAAAGATGCCGATCGTCCAAGGTTGTTACTATTTCGAAAATGCAGTTTGACCTTGTCCCACAATGAACCGCTTCTTTTGCCGCTAAAGAGTGACACCAGGTCGCCCACCCGCATGTATTGTCCAACATGGCGGTCGATCACTGCCGCTGCAGTGCGTCGTAATACTTCATCCTCCTCCATGGATACTTGAGCAAGTGCCACTTGACGCTGTTGGTGTTGATGCTGATGAGAGCTCATTAAGAGGGTTGATTGAGGACGAGGAGGAATAGGAGATTCCTTAATGGAAGTAGTATCATGCATAACACCACCATCATCAACCATGGATGATCTGTGCTTTTGTTTCCGTTGATAACGATCCCTAGCTCGATTGGCAGCTGCAGCTGTTGTAGTAGTACTAGTATCATTGCCACTATGACTACGACGTGTTGTGGTACTCAATGCACGTCTTAATAATGTTGTGCCAAATCGTGTTGGTGAGGATGTTCCATTATCCACGTTGCCATGGTTGCTGGTGGGAGTTCGAGTACGTTGAATTAAGGATGGTGAATCATCCGATGACACCTTGGTGCGCTTTATACTTTTTCGCAAATGAGCTGGATTCAAAAAGCCAAAACCTTTGGTGGTATCTACAAAGGCAACAGCAGGAGGCTCGAAACGTAATGCATGGTCTGCCATCATGGTGATTACTACTATCGCCCAAAGTCAATGAAATAAAAGAGGAGAAAAGAAAGACAGCAACAAGCGAGTAGCTGTGCTGGCTGATGGAGCGTCGGATGATCGGGTGTGAAAAATGATTGTGTTGTTTCTGCATTTATATCAACAAAGCTCACTTTTTTCGCGGGAGACCAAACAAATGCGCATCATGTGGCACATAGCTACGCTTTGAGCGGGTAAAAACGATGACTTCATGAAGGTTTGTATCACCGTGCCATGTTGAGAAGGAGATAGCGGACGAATTGTGGATGTCCTTGCTGCACAACGATGAATTTGTGTTGCATTTCAATGTCGTACGACAAAGAGGAATGAAATATTACCACACTGTAAATTCACTGGTAAAGATAGACTCACAGCCTTTAACACGCTACCAAACGTGTGTGAGTAAAAGCCCCATTATCTATTTTTCTCACCGTAGCAATGCATCAGGTTGGGCTTGACGCCATCTGCGAGTGCACTGTTCCTGTGACCATGACAGCTTTTTTTCCTTTTTATTTGGACACTAATGGTAAATGATGTGCAGTACTGCATTGCTTTTTATTTTCTTTTGCTAAAGTTACCCCCTCTTCTACGTACATCATGCACAGCAGCCGATTGTATGGGTGGTCTTTTTACGATACATGTACATTCCCACATCCATAAAATTTGAATGTAGCTTAAACCTATAATGGAAGATCAATCCACAGCTTGTGAATTCTAGCAAGAAGTTGGTCGAAACATGGTGGATAATGCATCTACCAGTCGACGGCCTGTTATGGTTCAACCCCCTTTTTTGATGTCCTAGTTTGGCAAACCCCGCCCAGGTTGACATCGGACTTGGCGTAGACGTGCATAAGAGAGTGCAACACTCTTGGCGAGAGCAAGTGCAGGTCGTTACAGTTGGATGAAAATGGTAATGTGTACAAGGGTAACGAGACGTATGCAATTGGGCACGCATTTAATGTCAATAGAAAAAGCAGAAAGCTAAGCATCCATAGCTGTTGTCACGACCTGCTCTTTATTTTACGCTTTTTGTTGGATGACGATACTACTAGTAAACATGGTTGAAGCACTGTACATCTCGAATATTGTGATTGAAGGGGCGCAATTGGATCAAGGGCAAGAGGTTGTATCTATCTTTGCTTTCGAGTGCGCTGCCGAGGTTGCGATGTAGACATGTGATGGAGAATTTCAAGTGTGGCCTGTTTTCCAGGGGTTTCTGCTATCGTGTCACTCAACCAACAAAGGCATAACACTAGAGCGATTCATGTACAGGGCATCCAAATGTTCCAACTTGTTGGCTATCTCGAGACGTTTTCAGCATACAAGAACGTAACTAAGGGATGATAGGCCCACTTGAACGCTTTTCTACAGCGACAAATGAGCGTAAGTTGATTGTATTCATACTTGTCTTTGGTTACTTGCCGAACAATCAAAGAGATCCAAGCGCCTACGGATACAATTGCTGATGCAGCCAAGTGTAAAGTGGTGTCGTTAGCTGTAAATCAACTCTTGTTGTCATGTTGGATAAGTTGTAAAGCATGCCTTCGTTTGCCTATGCCAAAATTGTATCATGAGTCGTGTGCTTAAATGCTCTGTGTCCCAATCCCAACACTTGCCGTTTACCTAATGATATGTCCATAGCCATCCATGTATGTATAAGTACTGATCGGTGATCTTCGATTCCATCCGTCGCCTTACGCTTTGCGGATTTAAGCGTATGCAGTGAATGCTCTTGCAGTAATGTCTTCGCCATTGTCTAGTGGATCCAAAAAGCCAATTTCCAAAAGATTATTAGCAATAGCCAATGTAAACCACAAGTGCAAGCATATACTGTATGTGTACTCACATGTCTTTCACGCTCGAATCCTCATCCGCCAATTTCAAGTGTGCACGTACGATATACTGATCCTTGTACCCGATTTGGTGAATATGATGGTGTCCAGAGATTATCAACCATTGACGTGTGTCCCTTTCCAACCAGGTCCAAAGGCGCTCTCCCTCTCTCTCGTACAAACGACTCAATTCTTAGTCCTTTCCAAGATAGAAGCTGCCTCCAGGGTCCAACACATTTGAGTTATCCTTTGGATCGATGAATGCTTCCAAGAACCCAATGACTTTGAGCTATGTCAAAAAGAAAGTCAATCATCCATCCTTGCCATCGTTTACTACATCTACTCACCACATGATCAAGATACGCATGAACTTGTTCACGAATACACCCAAGGATCTATGCTTTCATCCATCAACGTCAAGTGCCTCATGAAATCAAATAAAACCACCAACCTTGTAATGTAGAACCTCGAGAACTCATATCTTCAGCGTGCAGCGCGAACCATCATGCCTTCATAAGTCTGATCGTGAGCACCTGGAATCTGTATCGATCTTGACAATGCGCTTTGGGTTGATCGTAGTTGGGTTCAGCGTCCAGCATTGAGATGCGCAAGTCGTTCGTAAGACGCCATTCAGTGTAGCTTCTTCTGTCAACTATCTGAGACGTGTCTATAGAGCGTGGTTGTTTGCTGTATGTGGTGGTTGTGAGCAAAAGAAAAGGTGCGACAAAAGTAAGGAGAGCAAGTTGGTCAAATTATGGTGTCAAACAAAGAAATGAAAGGAAGAGCGGGTCTTTATGGCTGCCATGGCTAACCATGCAAACTATTTGTGCCTGAAACAAAGGTGGATCCACAAACATCATTATGCAGCGCTGTCTGTTATCATGCGATTTTGATGACCGTACACTAGACTTGGTAAAAAAAAAGTCAGCGGACTTGGTGTCATGGTAACTTTTTAGAGAAATAGGGTAATACAGCAATTGCTTATTTTTGATAGCAACGACAATGAAACCATGGCGACAAGACCTAGCAACCATGACACTGTAGGCCTCAGAAAACCTCGACACGTGATGCTCGAGCATGTTTAAACGCCGCTTGAAAGAAATAAAATGGGCCGCGAGAATCCGCAGCCGCCTCTTTTTTCTCTTTGTCCTCGCAAGCTCATTGTCCCTTGTTGTGGATGTATTGGCACCCACTCGTTTGCTCTATGGATTTTACACGGTGTGCAACTCTCTCGCAGTGTGACTGTGGCCCACCAGGGTATTATTTTCTCCACAGTGAGTAGACTTGTGCTTCGGGTATTATCCTTGAGTACAGCGAGAGTGAACTCCACCTGGTTGTTAGTTTCCCCCGCTTTCAACCACCTCGTTTGACACATGTTGAAGGTGCCCCATGTGGAGAGGCGGGAATGGATATGTGGCGACCTTCACGCGGTCATTCCTGTAAGTACTTGGGTCTTCAAACTCGAGGAAACCAACAGCCACATGCTAGTTTAGCTTTATTCACAATAAAAAAGAGATTGTTTTTATAATAACTTGTCTACTTTTCCTATATGATATAAGTTGCTTGCTAATGAACGTGTTCTTGGTTGCTGTGGTGCGAACGATCAAGGGCTTGATCGAGACCTAATGTACGTTGGCTGATGGGTAGAGAGCTTTTGAAATGGAGTGTCGCGTTGCTGCGTCTCGAAGTTGGATCGTGCTAAGAGGTGTAAGCTAAAGGAGATAATAGCTTCTCAAGATCTAGGCGTTTGATTGGAACAATAAAGAGAGTACAATGTTGAAACATACTTGCTGCGTGGCCATGGAGCTCGAGTCGTGTTCGAATTGCGCGTGTTGCTGCCGTTGCCTTGGCATCAAGAGCGTTGCCATTGGAGACGTCTTTGCGATTGTAGTTTGTTCGGCTCACTTGTCTTTGTATCGTTACCGTCATAGCTTGTGTGTTGCAATTTGGATTAGTTTTACCTTGTGTTTGTATCGTTATAGCCTTGTGGTTTGGTGCCTTGGATCAGTTTTACTTTTGCGCTACTGCTCCGCGATAAGGAGTGGAATGAGATTATATCAAGTCTGTGCGCTCTTTATGCAGCTCGACTTGGACAACTAGAAGTGCGTGATACTTGCACCAAAAATGGATGGTGTATGCATAGCTTCATTGTTATGGTCATAATGGATAGCTTCTTTGCTACTCAATGACAATCATCCTCGATCTGTGCAACCTGTCAACAATGCGTCTTTTGTGTGTGTAAACATCCATTTCACTCAGTGGTTCGTCGTCTCCCCTAATGCTGTCAATATCGTCAATGAAGAGCGACATCTCCTTCACGCTTATTCTTTACAGCTCATAGGGAAAGCATAAATGCATTTATATCTCAAAACTACACAATCCGATCATCTTCGCTGCTTACTGGACACGCGTACCAATATTAAAAGTAGGTTGACAACATAGGAAGTCACCTCTGTAATAATGGGGATGTGTATTAGGCGTACAAGTGATTGATTTCCTTGATAGATTTCTTATGACTACCCTAATTTGGCCGATGTATGCATCGACAACATTGTGTCCCATCACTTTATCAGCTCATCATGCATCAATCTATCAATGCATCTCCCCGATAGACAATACCCACGCCCACAATGCACAATAAAAGGGTGTTGTCGCTGTCAATCATACTCCCACACGTCTCTTTCCTCTGCCATACTTCTTTGATTGCTTGCAAGGCCAATTTTCCAAGGTTTGTGTGTATCCCATTTCTTGCAAACTTTGTGAATAAGCGCTGATCTTTGTGGTCATTCATAGAAGTGCGTTATCTTTATCCTACTCTCATTGTCGTTGTATTGCGATATTGAATTCTTGAAATGAGGTAAAGCTTGATCATGTTGCATGAAGAGTCACTACTCATACACGTTCCTTGTTACTTTCGATATAGCTATCTCTCCGTGAAGCATTTGCAAAAGTTGATTGTGGAGCCATGGTCTACTTCGGATGCTGAAACTGACTTGGCGCAAATGAGCAGAGGATGATTTAACGGCTTCATTCAAGATTTTGACACATGCTGTAACCCCTGCCGCAATTCATTTTTGCTGTCCACGTATTATCTCAAGATTCTCTTCCGCAACCTTGTAAAACAGTCGAATAGTGTCATTCGTTGAGCTG